AAGTATTAGTAACATATATAGAAAATAATAAGAAAATGAACAGTGGAAAATTTGACAATTAATTTACAAGAAAAAGACAATTCAATTTGTGGAGAGAATTAGTTGAAAAATTAATTGTGTATTGGAGCTAAAAAGTCCGCTGTGTAATGGAAAAAGTATTTTAATTTAATCCTTTTATCATATAGTTTTCTTCCTTAATCTATTTATTAAATTGTTTTGTTTATTAAGATTATTTATTAATCAGAACTTAACACTTCTGATTACTAAATACTCTTAATATAGTGTCTATGCTCTTAATAATTTATACATATAATTTACTATCATTTTAATTCTTTTTTGATGAATTAGATACTTCTTTTTATTTTTGGAAAAAATTTGCTGTATAACTTTATCAATTATGAATTAAAATTTTTTTATAAGAGTTGACTTGACATGAAAAGAAATGGCATCTACTCGTGGTTGAAAAATTCATTGCCTTCTTCAACAACTCTTTCAACTCCTTCTAATGCTTTGATTGCGATCAGAATAGCATATCTGTCAGCCATTTTCACTTTCATGTAGTGATCTCACATGCTCAACTCAACGTGAGTAGCAACTCACGTGGTGAGATGGGAAAGCACGTGAGTTATAACTCGAGACTACCGATTTGACGTCAGAGTGTGAGATGGTACCACGTGACACCTTCAACACATTGGAAGTTGTAACACCAAAAACTCAAGACTAAGGGCCCAGGCTGGATTACTCACAACTCATACCTCTCATCATGGTGGCCATAAAGAACACCAGCTGTCCAGAATTACAATCCAACATGGAGCTATCTATATTAACCACCATTGCATTATAGCAATGTTCAAAGACCCAGAAAAGTAAATATGAAGACTATGAAGACAGTAAAGTCATTTCTTGCATCCAATCAGTTAAATCTACTAGTCACAGATAAGGACAAAAGATTTGTTCTATGCAAAAATCAAGACTTCCTATCAAGAGCTAATGAATTCCTCAAACAATCCAAGTCTATTATACTACAACAAGATCCTACATCCACAATATTAAGAAAAACACATAAAATCATAGCACTTCATGGAATTGTAGCTTCCTTAATCAGTCCTCCCAATCCACCAACAAATGTTGCTTATCCTAGATTATTTTTCAAGGTTAACATGCATAAACTGCCTGACCTTTAAGACCTTTAGTCAACAAACGATCCCATCCCACATACTATTTAGAAGCTGCACTAGCAAAACAAATTACTGCTTTAATTCCAGAATTAAATTTGTGATCACATCTTCTATGGATGCAAAAGCAATCATCCTACACAAATTAGAATACCTCCCCACCAATTCATACTGATTGTACAAAGTTCATGTGATCTCCTTATATCCGTCTGTACCACATTTCGAGGCCATCATGCTTGCAAATACCCTGCTGCTTAACTCTGGTTACCCAACATCACATGTTTTACATTTGCGTGAAGCTCTCTTTCTCATTACTGAAAATAATTAATTTCAATTCAAAGGAAAAATATATAAACAGACACGGGGAGTATCTATGGATTCCCCATTATTACCTATTTTAGCAGAGCTTATTATGAGGAACATAGAACATCATATTTTCAATGTCCCCTTGACCATCCAATATCTAATTATGTATCTACATTATGTTGATGATGTGCTACTCATGTGGGAAAGTTCTACTGAAGACTTAGAGCAATTTATTCAATTGTTGGACTCTGTTTATCCTTCGATCAAGTTCACCGTAGAGGAAGAACAAAATGCCAGAATCTCATTTCTATATCTAAAAATTCATAAGTCTCCTGATGTTTTATTTTCTATCCATCATAGAAACAACAAAGCACTACAAATTATCCCACTACAGCCTTCCAACCATTAAACTTCATGAATTCTGCTATATCTTTCCTTGTACGAAGGACATTCCTTCTCCCTTCCACCCAAGCACTAGTAGATGAAGAATTACTAATCATTAAAAGAGCAATACAAAAAGCTGGATATTCTCATTCTAACTTTCATTATCTTCAGAATCAAGTTAAAAATAAGCTATTTCTGCAGTCATTTCTTAGTAACAAAGAGAATCTAAAAATAGCACATCCTCCAATACCATATTTAGGCCCTATCTCTCTAAAAATAGTACATCTTTTTAGAAAGATTGGTTTTGTTTTACCAATAACCCCACAACCGACCCTAAGAAGACTATTATGCACCAACAGAGATATATTTCAATTGAATGAAAAATCTGGGATTTATCAAATTCCACTAAAACATGCTCTGTCAGGAGAAGAAACTAGCTACATATGGGCCAAGGCCAGAATGTTATATTCTCACATCTTAGAACATCAGGAAGACATTAGAAACAGTAGACCATCAACGGAATTAGCAAAAAAACTGCTTGACCAAAATTATCAGCCACTCTGGGCCCAAACAAAATTATTCAAATGTTGTAATAATCGGAAAGAATTATTTATTTGGGAGAGCCTCTACATAACAGCTATAACACCCTGCAACATCCCAACCCTTGAAATCTCACAATTATGGGTTACAGTATTCAAACAATTCAATCAACAGTTTTAATTTCTTTTTGTATAAACAGGTTTATTTTTGCTATTGCATGCTATGTAATCTTGAGAAATTACACCACTCATTATTATTGTATATTTTTAGAACATCGTTTTTATTCAAATTCATTTTATATTCCATCCACGTGCTATATTTAATTTCAAATATTGTTCAAAAATGTAAAATTTGATAGCTGTTGTATTTGATATTCGCCTGTTGATTGTAACTTTATGCTACTGAGAGTACTAGCAAACATTTTCATATGCTAAAAATTGATATTGGTAATGCCACAACACTTAAATATAGTTATTATATATTGGTATTCCTTTAATCAATTCAGATTTGTTCAGTTTTGTAAAACTAGTAGCTATTCATTACAACATTTACTTTCTCATTGTACTAACTTTTCACACATTAGATTGGAATTTAATTATAACCTTACTTTTGTTATTTATAAAAATGTTATTGTGTGAAATTATTTTGTTAAAGATGTGGCAACTCATTTGTTGTTTTCATTTTATAATTTGTTAAATAAAATTTTATTTTTAAGTTACAATAAATGGTGACTCTTTTTATTTAACTGTAGAGTTTGTCTCTGTAAAAATCACACACACTTATGAACAGGAATTACTCTGTTATTCTGACATTACACATGGATCAGCGGCCTCACATATACATTCAAATTAGAAGTTACAAATTTGATTTTAGGTAATTTTATTTTCTCTTTCAACATTAATTAGGATGCAACAAGATTATTTTACTTTCTTCAACGTTTTTTAAAAGAGAAGGGAAAAAATCTAAACATCAAATGCTTTCAGGTTTAAACATGATCTTCAGGAATATAACCGAATTAATAATTATATAACACAGGATTATTTCAAACTATCTTGGCTAATTATTAATTATGTCAAAAGTAACTTGTACTAAAGATGATGATTAGGCTAATATTTTATACACTGGCAACTGAATTGCCAACCATTAGTACAAGTTACAAGTACTTTGGATATAATTAATAATTAGCCAAGATATAGTCTGAAATAACTTAGCATCAAATGATTTATTTAACTTTGAAGTTTAGGTTTAGTTGTTTAGGTATATGAATTAATAATTATTTTGCCACACTTCCATTTTTGAACAAGCGGTTTCAGACATTTCGGTGCTCTTGATTTATTTTTTATAAATTAAAATAAATTCAAATTATAAAATTCTTCTTTTTCTAAAATCAGTTTTAAAAATTGAAATATTGCTTTGAAAAATTTAAAAATTTAGAATAGAATATCTTTAATGTACATAAAATCTTCATAAATAAATTTATAACAAGATATATCTATTAAAATTGTGATTGTCTATCAAAAATTTATCAAGTTGTATTATGTTACAGTAAATGTACTCTACATCTTCACTAAAAGTAATTAGTGAATCTGTACTACAGTTCACAAAATCTCAATTTTTGGATTGCCCTGAAACATTGATCACTAAATGTAAAGCTCCTCAGACAAAACTATTACTATAAAGATGACTGTATCAGCTAAATCTTGCAGCACAGGACAAGACTTTTTTAAATGTTCTTACACTTTGAAATGCTAGAATATAAAGTATAAATGCAAGAAGAATAGCACTTTATGCACTTCTAAATGACATAACTCTTTGACTTACTTTAATAAATAAAAAAGTTAAAAAGTTTTTTTTTTGTTTTATTTTAAATTTACTTTTCTCAACTTCAGCTCGTAAAGGTTAACAAACAAACACACTTGAGAGAGTATACAATCACTAGTGAATGTGGATTTATTTTAAAATAAACAATTTGTTCCACACTCACTTTACTTTAGTGAAAGTTTACATTATGATATAGCCTAGTATTTCTGAAAAAAATTTTCAAATAATTATTATTTCAGCACTGTTTCACAATGATGCAAAGGCTAAAATTATTTTAGTAAACAGATGAAGGACTAAGTTAAAAAATATTATCTCAAGTAAAAAAAAATAATAAGAACAGTTGTAGACAATCATAAAAATAAAGAATTTATTATACATGTATTTTAAAGTGATAATCAAAATAACAAATGCCATTAAGAACTATTAATATTTTTAAAATTAAGAATGTANTATTTTTGAAATTAGAATCTAAAAATAATTTTTCCCTAAAATTTTTAATGATTAATTTATTTATTTTAAGAAGTAACTATCTAATAATATACAGAACATCCCGAATTCTTTTTAGACTTACTGTAGAACATTTTTCTTCTAATTTGACATATTATTTCATATTGAATTTTGTATCATCTAATTAACATGTAAAAAGATATCAATTTTGGAATTTGCAATTCTCTAAAAAAGAATCTTATTTTGTTCCAAAAGAATTTTGTTAACTTCTGCATATTTGCCATAAATTACAACTATTATTGTTATATAAAAAGAAATGATAATTACTGTTTTCTAGTGATTGTACAGATGATGATGTAGTTGTTGGTTTCAAAGGCACAAATGGTTTACAAGGAGCACTTTTAGCTAAAAACACAGCTCTGATTTCAGCAAAAGAAGGTGATATGGTTCTCTCTGTTGTTTTTTCTTCAGTCTCTTCACTTACTTGCTCTTGTGATAAATCATTCTGTGATTCTTCATCCATCATAAAATCTTTCCTTTCATCATCTTCTGATTGACTTGTATCTTCTAATCTTTTAAGTTCAGAAAAATCTGTAGAAAAGGAAGAAGGTGTTGGAATAGTTGATAAACCTTCACTAGTAGGAGCACAGGGTGAAAGCATTTGGCTAAGATTATCTTCGTGACTGTCAAGTGGAAGTGACCTCACAATACTTTCTTCACTTAATTCACCATTATTAGTATCTTCTGGAAGTCTTGAATGGAAGATTGGTGACCTATTAATAATAAATGATAAAGTAAATGAATATAAAAATATATTTATATACCTTGGAGATAATTGGCGAGGAAGAATTATTGAAGGTGATTCCCTATCATGTTGTAAAGCCATCAATGCTGACTGATGATAGACTGCTGCATCTGGACCAGGAACATATTTTATACTATAATGATAAACATGTTATTAATAATAATCACAATGATACTGAAAATAACATTTGAATTTAATTTCTTGGAATTACTTCTGTTTAAGCTTTTAACATTAATTGACATTCCAAGCTTAATATATTTAACTTCTAGCAACAGTTTTAAACATATTGTAGTATAAAAAAAATTCTTACATGATATCTGTACTTAATAATTCTGCTCTTTTTAAGATTGCTCTAGCTTGAGACTTTGTTATTTTTCTCATACTTTCATTATTTACAGATAGAACATAATCTCCAATAGCCAAGTTCCCGTCTTTTTCAATTGCACTATTCTGTGCAATAGATTTAACTAGCATACCATTAATTCCTTTTTCTACTAATTCTACACTCAAACCTTTTAGAAAAAAAAATTATATATATAAATATAATTTAAATAAATATAATTTAATTTAATATTCTAATAGTAAAGTTGATATTTAAAAATAAGTTCTGATTACATTTAATATTTTTTAAATTACCAAAATATCAGAGAACATGATTAATATAATCATAATAGAATGAACTTTGCATCTTTCTTATGGAAAATAGGTTTAGGTAAAACTGGCTGAAAATAAAATATATTGTAGTTTATGAGATCCTGATCAACACCCCCAATGGGTAGACAGCTCAAAAACATAGTTTTTTGCTACAGGCTCTCAAAATATATGATTCACAAGACTTACCAAGCAGGGAAAGAAATTACAGCTGATAAAATGAGAAGATAATGAACCATACATTATATACTGTCATTTATATTTTAATACATACACAAAAATACAAACACCCTAAAAGTGAGAGGCAAGGGGACTCACATCAAACAAGCCCCCTAAAAGGATTAGATAATGGATGTAGTTCTTCAATGACGCCAAGAAAAAATTCCAAATAATTCATAAAATTAACTAATTAAGTATGCCTCTAGCCCAAAGTTAAATACACATTAAATGAATTGTCTATCAGATCATGGCTAAATGAAAAGGAGTTATCACACCAAGATGAAAAGGAACCAGAATCAATTATTCAAATATAACTTTTATTAATATGGAAATGCATTTTGGGTACACAGACCTTCATCAGCCCATTTAAAGATTAGACATATGGTAGTGAACACAGTATCTATCTAAAATATTGTAACAAAACACAGTTTACAAACTGATATTATAAATAACACAGTGAACTGTATATACAATTACATAAAATACTAAATTAAAACTAATAAAATTGTACAATACAATAATAAAAACAATTGATGGTTGTAATTAGTCTGGAACTGGCAGATTAAACTGTGTCTTCATAAAACATATTGGTTCTATCAATAATAATTCTATGCATTGTATGCTAGAACTTCTAAATAATAATAATAATAAAAACACCTTTCTCATTTTTTCTATTAAGTTTTAATAAAATGAAGTAACATTTTCCTTAGTTCATTTTAATTCAAGAAAACATTAGTTCATCTTATTAAAATTGCTAGAAAAAGTGTGAAAAGTGTTTTTATTATTACTATCAATAATAAATTATTAGTTACATTTATGGCTTAATTTTAACAAATTAAAAAAAATTTAGATAATTTAAATGTGCTGAGCATTTATTTTATGAAAAAACAGTTATGCACCAATTTATCATTTAAAGTACATTAATCTGCTGTTTCCATAGTAACAATCAAAATCATCTGAATCTTATACTTTGAGAGCCTGTAGCAATAAACTATTTTTGAGCTGTTTGACCATTGGGACTTTTGATCAGGACCTCACAAACTACAACATAATTTATTTTCAGCCAATTTCACCTAAATTGAAATTTTCCATAAATATAAAAAAAAGGTGCATCATGTGTTTGAACTCTTCACATGCGGCACATAAGCAATCAGGAGGTAGGCACTAGAGTGAGCAAAGACAGGAGGCCTGATAGTTCAAATGTCATGTTTGAGAGGCACTAGATTCTGTTTCTGTTGTGTGATGTCCTGAAAGCAGGTGAGTAGTTGGTGGTATGGTGTGTCTGTCAACGAGGCTTACACCAGAAGTAGGGCAGTATGCTATGTGGCCAATTTCCTGGAGGTGTGTTTGCTGAGAAGGCAGCGGTTTTTATGTTGGCTGACTTTACAGAAAAAGTCCACTCCTATGATCCATTGTGAAACTGTGACAATGATGAATGGCCAAGTGAACTTGCAGCAGAGGTAAAGGTCAAGCATGAACAAATGCTCACCAAAAGTATGGGTTGACTGAATCATTGGCGGTAAAGAAATCAAGTTTTTTGAAGGCGATTGCTGCCTTTCTCATCTCACTGGAATAATGGAGACATCAGCACCTGTGTCAATTAGGAAATATTACCCAGTTTGTTTGTCTGTAAAGAAGAGATGGTGGAGTTTGTCATTGCTGTCACTCATGGTTGTGAGTGATAACTCTTGGTGTTACCTGGGAAGGAACACAGAGGTGAACATTTCTTAGTTCAGTGTATGAAGGTATGTATAGTGATCCCAGCAATATCCTAATTTTAAAATTTATCAGAAAGTAGAAAAATATAATAAAAATAATATTAAAAAGTTTTTCCTACCGATAATATTTTGGAAATATCCTATATGGCAGACAGAAAGAAAAAGAAATGGTCTGTTAAAAATTGTAATACAATACTTTCAAAGAAGTCTTACAGAATACAACAGAATATCTTTAATTATTGCAAAGTAAGAGTCATATATTCTACATTGAATCCTATTTGCAATTGATCTAATTATATTAAATATCAGCAGTTTGTTGGTTCAATTCTATCTTTATAAGGATTCACAGGTAATGCTTAGTAAGTAATGGTATGTAGATATACAGGTAAAGAAAACTTTTAAAAAATGTACAAGAAAATGTTATGTATTTGTCTATTNACCCAGTTTGTTTGTCTGTAAAGAAGAGATGGTGGAGTTTGTCATTGCTGTCACTCATGGTTGTGAGTGATAACTCTTGGTGTTACCTGGGAAGGAACACAGAGGTGAACATTTCTTAGTTCAGTGTATGAAGGTATGTATAGTGATCCCAGCAATATCCATGATGTTCTGGAGCAGACAATCATGGACGAATATGGACAAAAGTTAAGTTATGGACTCCATATCGGGCTACCCTAGACAGTGAAATGTTCCTATAGAGTTTGGAACAAATTTCCACTACCTGGGCTTGTAATTCACAGACTACAGCACTACTTGCAAAGGATCAGTTCCAGATTGATCTGTAGTCAAGTTGTTCCAGATAGTGTGGATGAAGTTGAATACACAGGTGACAGAGTAGTGAGTACAAGTGAATATTGCTTTAGTGTTTAATACTGTTTAATAACTATAAATACTGACTGATATATAAATATAAACAAAATCTCCAAAACATTTTCAAGCCTATAGACATGTTGGCTTAAAATATAATCTATAAATATAAACTGTTATGTTTGTAGATTAAATTCCTGCAAAGATGAACCCATATGCCCGAAGATGTTTGGGAGAATTTTTTATATCAGTCAGCTCCTCTAAAATAGTGTCTGCAGTTATTAAGTTCAGTAAATAGCAATTTTTTGTTTACTTTTGTTGTTATAAATATTTTAATATTTCCTAAAACTCTGAAAATAATTATTCAGGATAAAAATTTGAATTTATAACTCTTGTAATTTGAAATTTTACTAGATTTCTAACTTGAAATCAACAAGTAACTAACATGATAAAGTCCAAGTTTTCCAAACTATATAAATTTAGAGTTACAATGCACAGATTTCCATATGTAAATGACTACAACCCCATTTTATCTAAAATCAGAATACCCCTGTTTAGATTAAATCTAACCAGTGTATCTGATGATAAATACAAAAAGCATGCAAAAACATTGCATATAGTAAAACCTTTTAATTCCTAATGTAATGTTTGTGATTTTATTCATCTATTATTTGTTGCTGTTTAATATGTTCTAATTTTATATCACAAAATGTTAAATACTAAAATTGTTTTAACGTTTGTTAATTAAAATATAATTTTCAACAAAATTTGTATGATGATGCATTATATAAACAAACTTATTACTTTAATGGTAAAGCAAACTAAATCATATGGTCAGATATCAATTGCCATAAATTGATATTTGATAATTAATAAATTTGGTTTAATTATTGTTTATGTCTATAAATCACACATTTATTTTTATTCAAATTTCATGCAATTTGTTTATTTTTATCATTAAGCATTTCATCATTATGATCTACTCAAAATTTCATATCTTCTATAAAATTTCATAGCATGACAAAGTTTGCTATCTTTATCATCACATATGTAATATATGTATATTGCTTTAATTAATTAGCTGTGAGGATAACTGATATGATTTAAGCATGTTGTTTTTAACCATATTAATCATTTATAATTAACAAGAATTTGGATCAAGTCATTATTTTTGATTGGAATGACTTTAACAAAAAAAATTAAATTTGGTGTATTTAAAATAAATATTCTGCTTGATATTGTGAAAAAAAGTAGCATAATCAGAAAGGGCCCAGAGGGCCTAGGTCCCTCTTACCTTTACAAATATAGAAAACAGATTTAAATATGACAAATACACTTATACAGTAGAGCATCGATTATCCAAATACCAATCAACCAAAACATCGGTTAACTGAAAGCTGGAACGCTTTTGGTTAACCAATTGTTAACCGTTTGCATTGCAGCACTCTTTCCCTCCCTGCCAAACTGAACTGTAGGCCTAGTTTAATGTATTACATTATGTAAGGTATGTATTTGTAAGACGTGTGATACAAATTATATACAGTACAGTTTTGTTTTAATATATTTTTTTGTAAATGATCAGTTATCCGAACAACCTCAGACCTGAATTGTTTCGGCTAATTCAGTGTTTCTCAACCTCTAACAAATCATTGCCCCCTTCAATAAAACCGTGACATAGTATCGCCACCTTCACTTCAAAATTCCGATGCCGAGGGCCAAGGCTAATGCCAAATTCGTACTGCGTTGAATAGACTAGTGACTAGTATAATGTTATTTGTTTAATTATTGTACGATATAACAAATAAAATATCTAATTATTCTTACTATAATGTTTTACTATATCGCCCAGAAAATTGTTTTTCATCCCCCCAAAATATAAATTGTTACTAATCACCCCCTCAACATGGAAAAATGCCCACATGGGGCAATATTGCCCCCATTGAGAAACACTGGGTTAATTGATGCTCTACTGTACTTATGTATATACAATATCTGAGTTACTCTTCAAACAGAGCACTAGTGGCTAATATTCATAGTAATACAGGAGTGAATGTACATTTGCACAGTATAATTCAAGCTCCCTTAATAAGGCAAAATTCACAAATTTTAATACAAATGTAAAATTCATAAAATTCAGATTCTGTCAGTTATCAAAATAAAAAATATCTGAATATACTTAAAATACCAATGTATTGTAAACAGAACTTATTTCATTTTACCAAGTTTGTAATCATAATACATCCAAAACAAGTACACAACAGATTTTACAAACTTAAATAAAATTTTATTTAGATCTAAAATTTATTTTTTAATGCTATAAATTAATATTTTATCAGACAACAATAAAAATATATAATCTATTTATAACTTTATACTTATATTGTCATTTTCTAATAATTTGCAATTTAGTATTAATAATAAAGATATTTTTAATTTTAAAATTATGTTACAGAAATTCATATATCAAGAACATTAAAAGCATATAGTACAATACATTACAATACATGCTTTTAACAGTATATTATATCAGTTGTAGTTGATTCTACTAAAATAATAATATTTTTATTATGCTATTTAATTCTGTTTAAAACTGATATTAATTGTTACTGACTTCTTTGAAGTTCTTTGCTGTTCAGGTAAGTGAAGTATTACCTGGACAGCAAATAATGTATAATCTTAATTGCTTGAAGTAATGGTGAGAGAAAATGAATTTACAAGTAATGAATAAAGTTCAGAAGAATAGTGTAATTAACTTAAAAATAAAATTACTTGCATTGGAATTATTTATCTTTTCCTGTGCATTAAACAGATGTAAGTCAAGAGTTTTGATGAAGAACAATAGAAAAAGAGTTCTGGTATTTGAAAGGTTTTGTTATTGAAAATTGATTAAATAAGGATAGATAGGAAAGATTAAAACTGAAGAATTTTATAGAAGAATTAGAAGAAATATAGAAGAATTATATAGAAGAAAAAAATCTCATTTAGAAAATAATTAACAGAAAGTTATAGCTTTTTGGTCACATATTTATAGGCTGAATAATGAATGCATCGTTCATCCTGCATCATATTAAAGACAAGTAATCATCCAACCATCAGCCAAATTAACCAGGCAGAAATTATGCTACAAATATTAATTAGAAATTACATGATTAGAACAACTAGAAATAGACATTAGGTACCATCTCTTGATGAAAATAGTAACTATAATTTAATTTTAAATTTACAAAAACTTTTAACATATAAGCGTTAAATTAGACACCTATGTCACTAAATTGACGAGCGCTTTCGACGATATACACTTTCGTCTTCTTCAGGTCATTAGAACCTTTTTTGAATACAAAATTTTTAAAAAACATTCCAATCTTAAATAGCAAATTTGGAATGATAGCAACGGTAGAATATAAACAGATATTTAAATAAAAATATGCGCGGTAGAATATAAACAGATATTTAAATAAAAAACATGCGCGTTTATGTTGCGCATGCGTTATACGCCTATATATTGTGGATTTAGTTGCGATACTTTATATAACTGTACAAACTGATCCACAAAGGGGGCAAATCCAGTGTGGGGGTGTTGCAAGGCTTTAATACGTTGGTGATAAGGGCTTCCCAGATATATACAAGATTTTTGTGGTTGCAATGTTTTAATATTACCACGTCATTCCACAGAGGGGTATGTTTGTGTTGTAGTACCATTCTGGCGAGTTCTGTGTCATTCCTGCCTTCTCTGATGGAACATTGATGCTCTGAAATGCGGTTAGCTAACATTCTGGTTGTCGCACCAATATAATGGGTGCGACCGCCTATATCATTCTCTAATGGAACTGAATACACCCCCGATTTTTCATTGGTGGATAAAGGATCTCTGTCGTTGGACAGCAACCTCCTAAGATTCGGCCGCGGAGAGATCGGCAGAAACAAATCATGTCGCCTAAAAATACGACAGATACGGAGGGTGACACGGCCAGAAAATGGTATCGCTGGCAGGACTATTGTGGACTCCCTCGGACGGTGTAGTGTGGTGGCGGGAAAGAGTGATGTTTTTACCTTATTTAAAATGTAATTAAATTTGGCTTTGCTGTAGCCCGCCTCATTTATCGCTTGGCAGATAATATTAAGTTCGGTGTCAATAGCCGCCTGGTTGGACGATAGGAGGAAGGCCCTTCTTATCAAAGGTGAAATTGCCGCATTGACGTAATGTTGCGGTTGGTATGCCGTGGCCGGGATTAGAGGAGGTACACCACTGAATTTGTGGAATACGGAGTATGTGGTGTTATTTCGGGATTTATTGATTTTTAGATCCAAGAAGGCAATTTCATTTTCCTTTTCTTTTTCCCAGGTGAAAATAATAGTGGGATAAGTGGTCGCTAGACGGTCTTTGAAGGCAAGGTCTTTATCAAATTATAGAAATTTTAAATTTAGAATAGTCTGGAAGAAAAGAATTGACCGAGAGCAGGAGTCAAACCCACAACCTCCACTTACTGTGTAATGTGCTGACCAGTTACACCACCCGAACCTCTGAGAGATTTCTCCCTTTCAGACACATTTAAACTTTAGATATAAAAACATCCAATGGTTACCCACAACCATATTCAATTTCCACTGGCCTACTTCAACATGACACTTATTTGGCTATCATTTTACCTGGCATGGTATGATATATATATTTATTTATATAAACATCCCAAGAACCCTGAACTCTATATATTAATAATCATCCAACCATCCAGACTATTTTAAATTTAAAATTGAATTATAGTTACTACTTTCATTAAGAGATGGAGTCTAACATGTACTGTACCTCTAGCTGTTCTAATCATATAATTTCTAATTAATTTTTTTGTAGCATAATTTCTGCTCGATTAATTTGGCTGATGGTTGGATGATTATTAATACATCAGGTTCTTGGGATGTTTATATACAGGTAACCCCCGTATAACATGGCACTTCTATAGCATGGATTCGCTCTAACACGGTTCGAGAATTGGTACCGTCCCCCGTATAACACGGTACTTTTATAGCACGGATTCACTCTGACACGGTTCGAGAAATGGGTAAAACCCTCGTACAACATAAAATGTAATAAATTTTTACATACTTAAGTACTAATAGTTCACGAAAATTATTATTTTCGTGAACTATTAGTACTTCAGTGTGTAAATTTTCTTTTCTCGTCTCCATACACATGGTCCTTCGCGAAAATTGTTTCAATTTTGCCAGATCTCGACGCTTCTGCTTCTGGTGTTGCCAGATGTTTTTCCCTTATTCCATAATTGCTTAGCACCATATAAGGAAATTTATAAAGATCGTTTAATTATTTAACTAGAAGCAAGCAATCTAAAATTACATACACTTTTTGCAAAAGGTAAAGCATGAATCTGAAAATAATGCAGAAAAATGCTCAGAGGATAACAATACCTTGCCAAAAAAAAAAACGCTCTCGGTTAATAGTGCTTTTAGTGATGACAAAGAAAACATTGTTTAATTTATAATAATATGTATCACTTAAGAAAATTTTAATAAAGATATTTACCTTAATTATGAAAATATAGTAGTATGTTTTTTAATTTTTGGAACCTAACCCTCCTTTTCATACTAGTTCTTTGTTTCACATAACACGGATTCGCATAACACGGCAATTTTTTGGAACGTAACTACCGTGTTATACGGGGGTTACCTGTATATTAAAGACTACTGTCTTTATGATTCAAAGTATGAATAAAAGAAAAAATAATAAGAATGAACTGATGATACTAAAGAATGGGGTTAAGCCTGTTTGCAAGGATTAAGCCATCTAGCTTCGAATAGAGAGAAATGGAAGAAAATGGTTGAGAAGGCATCAAACACTATGAGCATGAGTCCACCAATGAAATGATTATTTTAAAATATTAAATAAAATATAAAATTAATAAATAAATTTAAATTTTCTGTGATACAATTAAATGAATAACTGGGGGAGGAAATCCTCAATAACAAAGGCATCATGATTTAGTTTAGAAATATTTTCAACCTCTATCCTATTTGTATTTATATGTAAATAACGAAAATATTTACTTTTAAATTAAATTTTTAGCTGTGTGTAAAAATGTCCAATCCACTTTCACAAAATATTTCCACAAAGTTCTATAAATTTTATAAAATATAATATAATATATAACAACCTAGACTATCAGTTCCTTTTTTAATCCTGACAATTCTTTCCAATGCACTTGGAAGTGGTGGTATATCAATATCCCATCGTGAACTTGGAGAAAAGGCAGGACTACTTAAAGGTGTCGACTTGCTTGAAGTAAAACCTCCTGATAAAAGTGAAGATGGTGTGAGAGAGGTTTGGCGGAGTGGAAAATTAGATATTCTTCGTAACTGATCATCATATTTCTGTTGATAAGTAAAAAATAGTTTTAAACTTAATCTAACACTTATTCTAAATATTAATTTATTATATCATTCCAAGTTTTTAACAACTGAAAATTATATGTATTTCAAAAGCTGCAAATTATTTATCATTTCATAGCAAAGTGTATATAAGTAATAAATATCTAATTNATCAAACACAAAAATGAAACAGAACTGTTATGTATGTAAACCTCCAGGATATAACACACACCGAATTGCCCCTTGACCTAGTTAGGCAACCCTGCACCTCTGACCTTTATCATGTTCCTTTGTCTCGTGCATTAGCTGTTGTAACACTTAGACCTGAAGGCACAAAGTTACATTTGTATTATCATCAAGTTATGTTTGTATTATAATAAAGTTAATTATATAAATTAACAAGTAATCGTTTATTTTACAGACACAACAAGAACCTACAAAAGTATTTCTGTACCTATTTTTGAACATTACATTTCTGTATTCTGACAACTGAAGGAGACCCATTAAACTGATCTAAAATGCTTTTGCTCACTAAATTTTACTTTCTGGAGTGATATAAGGTGTGGTTTTGCTTCCAACTTTCTTTCTTCAGTTTCTGCTGGTGTTTATTATATTGATATATCCTTAAACACAAACCTAGCTGGTTGTCAGAAAACTACTTGATAAAATCTGTGCCCTCTACATTCTTCCTCCACATTACTGTATCAATACAATACACCTAGCATAAAACTTAAAACTTGTTCTGTATTTGTTGATTATTTATTTCACTTTTCTGACTACTAATTCTGCTTACACCCCACTGATTGGCAACCCTACAAGAATTCCTGTATTCTGATTGAAGAATTTATCATTAAAGCAGAAATATGAATCATGTACTATGATTGTAGCTAGAGAAAACAGTTCTCTAGAAGTCACTGTTTGAAAGACTTAACTTTCCATTGACAACTCTTTTAGGAGAAGGACAGGGTCCTCTTTAATGATAGAGTGATTCAAAACTATATGTATACATTAGGTCATTCTCACTTCTTTTTATAACTTCTAACTTGGTCTTTAAAATACAAACTGTTCTTAACAGTCCATCATAGTCCTCTATTTTTATGTTGATCCATTTTGCTACAACTTTTTCTAATAAATAAGTGGATGAGTCTTTCTTGTTAACAATCAATCTAACTGCCTAAAGGTCCAATTAACATTTTGGAATTTGAAATTTCTTTTTTAAATATTTTGAAATATTTAAAAAAAAAAGGGAGACACAGAAGAAGTCCAACATCAACTGGATATGTGGAACAGGAAGCTACAGAAATGGAGAATGAAGATAAGCAAAGAGAAATGCAACACAGTGGTGATGTCTAAGAGAACTCAGGAGGGGAGAGGGAAAATCAAACTGAATGGAGAATTATTAGAGGATATTGATAGCTTTAGATACCTGAGAACAGAAATATCAAATGATGGAAAGTTAAGCAAGTGTAAAACCAGCAAAAAGATATATGACAAAAAAATCTCATAATTCACTGAAAACAAAAAATGATAATATATTTACACCAATTAAGATAAAACATTTCATTAAAAAATTGAATGTTTCTTTTGTGATCTTCTGCCATTATTATTACATATACAGGATTTTTCAAAAGTAATGTTTCATAGGAGATTGTGTGGAGAAGCATCAGGAGATTGTAGGTAAAGCATCAGAGGACAGGCATATAGTGTGATGCATCATTTCAGGTCTGCATTACTGTAAAACAGAAATTAATTGCACAAAATTCATATGCACAGTCAAATCACTTTCAACTAATATAACCCAGCTGCACAATTCTGTAACTCACAACTAGGTATGTTGTAAGGATTCAATGAACTTGTTCTATTTAATACGTGAAATATTACTGGTCTTTTTATAACTGTTATGTTTAATTTTATTTAAATACAATTAAAAATAATAATAATAAACCAGTAATGCGTTGTATTCTTGCTATCGTCAGCATGTTGATTATTAAAAAAAAATCAATTCTCACAACATAAACATGTAACAGTTAGTACAATTAATTTCTGTTTGACAGTAATGCAGACCTGAAATGATGCCTCATATAACCAGTACACTATATACCTGCCCTCTGATGCTTTACCTACAATCTCCTGAGCTTCTCCACATAATCTTCTATGATACATTACTTTTGAAAACCCTGTAGACGTATACTTTATTTTATTTTGTTTTTGTTTGTGTGTTTGTATAAAGTTTATATGTATATATTACTTTGTTTCCCACTAACCCTTTCTCTTATTCTTTAATCAGCTTATATTATAATTGCTGAGAGGCTGGTGAAAATACCCAGCATGGTACCAAGAAGATAGATATATAAATACAGAAACAAAGAATATCATGTAGTGCAGAGAGGGGTCAGAAGGAACTAAAGATACTGAGAAAAATAATATATTTTGAATGTCTAGAAAAAAGTGAAAAGTTAAACTTGGATAGGTAAAGATTACCTCCCTGACAAAGTACTGGAAGGAAAAGAAAAAATATAGGCTTTAATATCTGCAGAATTTTCTAGGGGGCAATGCTTGAGACAAATAATTACAGTAGAGCATCGATTATCCGACCCCCAATTAACTGTCACCTTGATTAACTGACCATTCTAGTTGGCAAATTTCAAATATCCGCTAGTGATGTGGCGTTACAATATTTGGCTATGTCTTGGCTACTTTAATATAATTTTTGTTAAATTTTTGCATGTTTTAGCTGGCAACACTGGCTCGACCATGAAAGGGAGGCCAGTATTTAAACGAGATTTAATTTTCTAATTATGAGTGATTGTTTGTTTCGTGAGCAATAAAATAATTTAAAAATAATTTTTAACAATGCAATAGCGACTATTATTTAAAAAAAAATTTGTTAGGCTTAACATCAATGAAAATTCAACGCAAAGTAGATTAATAGCGATATACTAATTACATGGAATATACTAATATACTATACTAATAATGTATTTGTTCATACTTTTCGATTATCCGTTTTTTCAGTTATTCGACCAACCCCAGTCCCCAATTGAGTCAGATAATTGATTCTCTACTGTATTCCCAATTAGAACATAAATCCAAAGTTCTTTTAATCAGAGCCTTAAATGCAGCATTTTTTTTTTTTTGATGAGCTGCATTGTTTGAGTGAAGTGGAATGTAAATAGACTGGTAGGTAGGTGCCTTTCCTGTAGATTTTAGTGCAAAATTTGTTACTAATTCTAGTGATTCACAAGAAGTCTTTCTTGTAAATCACTAGGGTCTTTTTTCTTCGTCTTTCAGAAACAAAACCACACCTTATATCACTCCAGAAAGTATACTTTAGTGAGCAAAAGCATTTTTGATCCAATTTAATGGATCTTTTTCAATTATCAAACACAAAAATGAAACAGAACTGTTATGTATGTAAACCTCCAGGATATAACACACACCGAATTGCCCCTTGACCTAGTTAGGCGACCCTGCACCTCTGACCTTTATCATGTTCCTTTGTCTCGTGCATTAGCTGTTGTAACACTTAGACCTGAAGGCACAAAGTTACATTTGTATTATCATCAAGTTATGTTTGTATTATAATAAAGTTAATTATATAAATTAACAAGTAATCGTTTATTTTACAGACACAACAAGAACCTACAAAAGTATTTCTGTACCTATTTTTGAACATTACATTTCTGTATTCTGACAACTGAAGGAGACCCATTAAACTGATCTAAAATGCTTTTGCTCACTAAATTTTACTTTCTGGAGTGATATAAGGTGTGGTTTTGCTTCCAACTTTCTTTCTTCAGTTTCTGCTGGTGTTTATTATATTGATATATCCTTAAACACAAACCTAGCTGGTTGTCAGAAAACTACTTGATAAAATCTGTGCCCTCTACATTCTTCCTCCACATTACTGTATCAATACAATACACCTAGCATAAAACTTAAAACTTGTTCTGTATTTGTTGATTATTTATTTCACTTTTCTGACTACTAATTCTGCTTACACCCCACTGATTGGCAACCCTACAAGAATTCCTGTATTCTGATTGAAGAATTTATCATTAAAGCAGAAATATGAATCATGTACTATGATTGTAGCTAGAGAAAACAGTTCTCTAGAAGTCACTGTTTGAAAGACTTAACTTTCCATTGACAACTCTTTTAGGAGAAGGACAGGGTCCTCTTTAATGATAGAGTGATTCAAAACTATATGTATACATTAGGTCATTCTCACTTCTTTTTATAACTTCTAACTTGGTCTTTAAAATACAAACTGTTCTTAACAGTCCATCATAGTCCTCTATTTTTATGTTGATCCATTTTGCTACAACTTTTTCTAATAAATAAGTGGATGAGTCTTTCTTGTTAACAATCAATCTAACTGCCTAAAGGTCCAATTAACATTTTGGAATTTGAAATTTCTTTTTTAAATATTTTGAAATATTTAAAAAAAAAAGGGAGACACAGAAGAAGTCCAACATCAACTGGATATGTGGAACAGGAAGCTACAGAAATGGAGAATGAAGATAAGCAAAGAGAAATGCAACACAGTGGTGATGTCTAAGAGAACTCAGGAGGGGAGAGGGAAAATCAAACTGAATGGAGAATTATTAGAGGATATTGATAGCTTTAGATACCTGAGAACAGAAATATCAAATGATGGAAAGTTAAGCAAAAAAGTAAGTAGAAGAATACAGCAAGCTGATGGCTTCTGCCAGAGTATGAGAACTTTGATCTGAAAAAAGGAAGTGCCACTCAAATGTAAGCAGGTCCCCTTTATCAATTATACTTTATCCCAATATTGACTTAGGGAGCTGCAGCATGGAGAGAAGACAAAAAGATCCAGGCAACAGAAATGAAATTCTTCCGGAGCATGCTGAGTAAGACCAGAAGAGACAGGATAAGGAATGAAGAAATAAGGGAAAGAACAAAAATGAAAAATTTGGGGAAGAAGTTAGAACAAATTAGACTGAGATAGTTTGGACATACTAAGAGAAAGAATATCAAAGTTGGCATTGGAGAAAATAGAGGGGAGAAGACTAGAGAAAGACCAGGAGGAAGTGGATGGACAAAATAGCTAAAGACCTAAGAAAAAGGACTGATGATGTAGCAAGTGTTTGCAGAAGATGGAGGAAAGATAAAAAGAGATGGAGGTCTTTAGTCCATGACCCAACACAGACTTCACTGGATTAAGGGCAAAGAAGAAAAAGAAGAATTATCAAAATCTGCATTTTCTGCTTTATTGGAGAACTTTAAAATGCTTCCTTTAATTCTCAAATACCTTTCAGATCATCATCAGGAGTAGAAATTATAGAAGAAACTTTGTAAAACTCAATTCAAACACTAAAAATCTTCAACTCAAATTCAAATGGGAAAAAGTGGAATAATTATAATTAAAAATTAGGAGATATCTTCAAAACTTCTTTGGTTTATAATTTTAACCTTCTTTGTAAATAGACAAATTTGAATGATCATAATCTTACAACTGGATTACAGTTAAAATAACTGTACTATACTAAAATAAAATAATATAAAATGCTACTGAAAATTATATACATATAATTATTATGAAAATTTATTAGATAATAAAATTCAAAATAAATAAAAATGGCAAAGATTACACAAAAATACCTGATCAAATTCAAAACCTGAAGACATATATACTGATTTTGTAATATTTTCTGAAAGTAATTCTCCAGTAGATGATTCATTAAGTGGAATCTGAAAAATTAAATTAATTTTAAATGTTGCAAGTAATATTATAAAGTAATTATAGATAACCGACTTTTTTGTTTTCTTCTTTACTAATTATTATTCAGTTAAATGTAATTACAACTTTTAGATTAATATAGCAATTGATTTATATATTCACTTATGTCCAAAACAGTTATACTATAAAACCTGTGTTAACTGATAGTCCTTTAATATTATTTAATGTAGTTATTGAATATAAAGAAATGTATTTATTTGATTTAAGTTAATGATTTCTCTATATTCCTTATCAAAATTAATTTAAAATCAACACAATTTGAAATATATTGTTAATTGATAATTATTCATCAAAGAAACATGATATAAAATTACTAATTTTAATTAACTTTTTATAATTTTAAAAGTAGAAAAGGAATTATATTAAAAATATTTATTTTGTATAATTTGAATAATTAAATATATAACACTTTAAACCATTAATCCAGCAACAAATCATGAATATTACCATTAGAATTAAAAAGAATGACAATATAATAAAACAAGGCTTGTGCACAACTGCTCTTGCAGCTTCTGCCTCTGACAATAATGTCAATGTATCACTCAATAGGGCCCATCTTCTACATTGCACATCTATCCTAGCACACCTCAGGAATTTGAAAAGACTTGAAATGTATGAAGCTGTAAAGAGAGGCACCATCATTAATTTTAAGAACATAAAAACCATATTTCATACTTGAAAAGCTATATTTGAAATTTTATAATCCTTGAATCTCCAGTTTTTGTTATATCTTTATATTTACTAATTTATTTGTGTTCTGAGTACCACTCTTCTGCACATGTGCCTGCTTTGCCAGCACATTTTTACCAAGTTCCATTTCCATTAATTTTGAATTTATATCTTACATTCTGCATTCAATCTTCTGTTATGAAACCTGAAGATAATCATTGAAAATATTAAAGTTCACTTTCTGTTGCTGGATTATTGGTTTAAAGCATTATATATTGTATTTTCATCCAGCTTATGTCGGTATTTATTGAATAATTAAATACTAAAAGTTTCCAATGCACCTAAACTAAATAATAATTACTTCTGAATTTTGGTTACTTTCTGGACATGGAAGTGGTTTAGCAATTCCTATTCTTACTAAACCTTTTGGAGCTCCCTGCAATGCATGAACTGCTGTTTCTAAACTGGCATTTTCTAAGTTAATATTATTAACAAAGAGTAAACGATCTCCTGGAATTAGCCTTCCATCCTGTTGGGCAGCACCTCCAGGTACAAGACTTCGAACAACAATCACTGTCTCATTGAGATTCATTGGATCCTGAAACAAATAGTTGAAAATAACATTTATTAATAATTTCATAAATTCAATTAAATTTCAAAAATGGCAATAAACAGATTTTAAGTTTTCGATCTTTCACATTCATTGTAAAAGAAGCATTTATAATTTTAATCCTGTCATCAACTAAAGCCATAAAAAAGCACTCTCTTTTATTTTAAAATATTTCAATAGTCTTCTGTCTTCCTACAATGTTTCTCTTTAAATATTTGTTACTTAATATTACACATAACTAAAAGTGTCTAATTTCTTAACACTTTTAGTTATATGAAGAGAAGTGGCATTTAATTTCATTTTTGAAAATCAATGATAATTTTCAAAAGTGAAATTAAATGCATTTTCTCTTCATATAGTTATGGATATCATTATTTACAAATAACTATATGATAAGAAACTGCATCTAAAGAAGTTGGATCTTTGCATTAAAATATGTATTCTAATTTCATTGTAAACAAATATTTCATTATTATTTAGTGCTGCTTTATTTAATTTTAGCATATAATTTATTGAGATACTATTTTTATATGTTATAATAAAAAAAGTTTTACTTGCATTTTTACCAGTGCTATATTGCATTTGAAGCTCAAAAACTGGTTGCATGCTACATATCAATCAATTTCCAACTGATGTCAATTTACATTGATCTCCACAACAAATTTTTATTTAGATTTAGATCAGTCTTAAACTCTTTTTTTTTTCTTTGCATAGTTTTAGTTTTCTACACTGCAAACCACAGTTTTGTTTTCTTAGAAAATAACTACTATACTCTAGGTCAATATACTTTTTTAAGATAAGTAATAAATAATATTAGGTCAAAATTATTTTCACTGGTCACTTTTTTCATCCTTGGAAAGTGTACAAGAAAATTTTTCAACAAATTACTTATCCAAAACTGTATTTTGGCTTTGAATGTTTTTGTAGAGCTAATCATTTCAGCTAAATGATTGATTATTTTTTCCCTGGAGATCCAGGTTTAAACTGTTCAATTTTTCATATAGGTCAGTTAAAAAAAAGCCAAGTCCATCAACCATTGTGGGTTATTTAATTGTTCAAACATTTGACCTTTTCACATAAAGAATTTTTTTATCTCTTCCAAAAGATCAAATAATTGGCCAAGTGCTTTGTGTTTACTTTACTTAACTGTCTTATATCTGTATGTAAGATAAGGTCAGCTTGGAAAGATTCGTCCTTTTCTACAAGGGCTTTAAACAATCTGTGTGACAAAGGATTTTCTCAAATTTTGTTAATTATTTTAACAATAACATTCATAACATGTTCAAAGGATAATATTTTGGCACATAATGATTCTTGATGTATGATGCAGTGAAAATACATAAAGTTCAGAAAGGATTCATCTCTCTTGCAATGAGAAATAAATCCATTATTGCAGCCCATCATTGCTAGTGCACCATCAGTAATTATTGCTGATAACTTGTGTAAAGGCATATTAATTTCTGTTGAGTAATTTTTAAAGATATTATAAATATCTTCACCCCTTGTTCACTCTTGCATTGATAGTAACTTTAATAGTTCTTCTTTCACACTAAAATCACTGAATACCATTTTTATCATTACTGCCAATTGTGCTGTATATAATATATCTGTTGACTCGTCTAACTGTAATGAGAAATACTCACATTCTTTTATGAATATTCATAAAAGCATTCATATCAGCTTTATTAGAGTTATATAATGGCACAAAGCAGAAAGTAGGAAAATAAAATTATATTTCCAAAGCCTTGAGGGCTGCATATTAAGACTTAGTGGATACAGGTTGCTCATGACTTGTCTATTATCTTCAGGCTAACATATAGACCTAAAATATGTATAACCTTACAGTCATTTTCAACACACACACATATATATATATATATTATATGTATGAGTATGTATATGCATTACAATAAATAATGTAAATCTGCTGATGACAATTTTTTCATTATATTCCATTTTAATAAACCTAAAAATAATCCTGTATTTACCAGGTTTTCAAGAAATTTGGTTATATATTGCCACTAGCACTCCAGTCCACATTGTGTATGATCCTTCACAACAACAGACAAGGTTGAACCTTGAAAAATCTAGAGTATATGCTAACAAAATCTGCTAACTGGGTCCAATCCTGTAAATCACAAAACTAGACAGATTTGGTCACTTGCACCTTACTGAAATTCTATTTGGCACTGCCATTTAAAAACATTGCTCATCTCTGATTCAGACCATAAATGGGGAGTTTTATCCAAAATTGAAATTTATAAATGTAGTTCTCATATATTACTTTATCATCTTAATTATTTTAAACTTTAATTTAGTTTTCCTTAAAATTTTATGAATTAAAAATTTTTTATTATGAAAATAAGTTTAAAACTTTTAATTATTTTATAAGAAGTTTATTCTATGGATATATCTATGAAAAATTAAAATAAATTAATGATTTAAATGATTTATAGGTGAAGATTTATACAGAAAACAAACTTAGCAGCAAACTAATTTTGTGTATAATGAATTTTTTAATGAAAATTTTGATATCAATAATGATAACATTTACTTTATTTTTATTCTTAAATTTAATAATAAAAAGTAAATCAAATTTAATCTAGAAATTTAGAAGAAACCTTACCTGATAATCAAGAATACTGAAACCAAGCCCCCTGTCTCCTTTTATAAGTTCAACAATATGAGGCTCACTACTCCATGTTGCAAGACTAGCAAGAGGTTCTAAAGATCTTGATCTTAATTTAGATAAAGTAGTATGTATTGAAGAAACAAGTGACAATCCCATTGCAAGATAACCATCAGATTTAGCTTTCACTAAACGTGTTGATATTGTTTTCCTTCTAGAAATTTCAGCACAATGACCACAAGTTTTTTTTGGTGTTGAATGATATAGTGGGGACATATGAAAATCTTTAGTAGGTGGATGGGGATGACGAGCACAAACTAAGTACACTAATTTTGGTAATTCTTTCAATATTTGCACAACTTCTCTATGGTTCAATCCTAACAATCTTTTGCCATTCACCTAAAATAAAAATAATTTTGATTAACAAATGTTTAGATATTAAGGTATTAAAAAAAAGCATTCAGCATTTATATGGTAGATAGTAGACACCATACTGTGTAAAAAAAAATGTAATAAATACACTAAACTCAACCATTTCTGAGGTATTAACAATTTTGTATGTTAGCATCATGGTTGACTTAATAGGTTCTTCATGTCATATGCAACATAAAAAGAGAGAATAATCTTGCTAAATCTTTACCTTGAAATTTACAGAAAATGTTCTGCATGTCTTCCTTCCATTTCTTTACACATTTGGCATCTTATAATTCCTAGTTATTGACAGATTATCTCAGAAGCAATTTAAATGAGGGCATTAAAGGTGGCCAGTTTGAATGTGTATGGATAATGCAAGAAACTGGAATAAAGTTTCTTTAACCCAGCTTCTTCACACAAAGCAATTGAGTTTTCACCCCATGCTTACTAAGATTTTTTACTAAGTATGACATGTACTACAGTGTTGTGCAGTCCATGGAAGCTGTGGAAGTGCTGCTTTCCTTGTATTTTCTAAAATATAAATACATATTGTGCAATTATTTTCATAAACAAGTTCTCATATTTTTGTTTCATGTCAATGTATCTATTTAGAATTAAAATAAATAAACTGTTTATTTTTGTCATTTCCAATATTTGTTTATAATTTTTATAGAAACACAGCTTCCCTATCATCAAATGTCACTGCATCCCACTGATGTACTATCTGCCATATAAATGCTGAATGCTATTATATATATATTTTATGTATTTATTTAAAAAACATACCATACATAAGTCTTCATAAAAGTCTCATATTATCACATTATCATAAAAATTTCAATAAAATCTAAGTTTTACACATATATCCTAAGATTTGCTAAGTTGTTTTATTAGTCCAAAATAATTGAAAAACTGTTTTCATTTCAATTTAGCAGTCAATGTTGTTAAATGTTAGGCTTGACAAAAGCTTTGGTAAAGTTAACATAAGTTTATTACACAACAGACAAGCTTAAAAGTAAAAAAAAAAAAAAAAAAACACAAGTCAAACTATGTTATTTTTACTTGTTATTTACTTATACAAAAGTTAATTAACTGTATAATATTGAAGGAAAAAAATCAGAAACAAGTGTGAAATATAAAACTTTTTCTCACAAAAAGCTTACAAAAATCAATTTCTATACTAAACTTAACAGGATATTTGTATCTTTGTGAAATAATTAAAAATAAAATGTTTCCATATTTTAGATGGTAAAAAAATTTATAATTATTGAATCATTTTTAATAGTTTTAATATTTCTGATTTTAATAATATATATACTTACTTACATCTCATATTTCTAGAATTTGCACCTAACTAATTATTGCAATATGCCAAACTTCCATGATATTTCAAGTGGAGAAAAATCTTTTTGATCTAAACAAATACCTTTCTAATTTACATTTTTTTTTTTTTTTTGGCAGTTGCACTTCATAAATCCTTGCTCTCCAGTAAAAGATATTTCTCTGATTACTTCACAAACACTCACTTCATCTTTTTCAAAGTCAGTTTTACGAAGTTCTTACAGACTGTAAATTGGTTGCTGCTAAAAACTACTTCAATTTATCTGCCAGTGTTCCAAGTTGATAGAATTCCTTGTCTTTGATAACTGTAACCAATGCAATTACATACTTAGAATCAGTCTTAGATCTGTCAATTTCAGGAATTTTTTCTCTCACATTTTGGCTAACCTTACCAACCAAACATAACATGTCTGAACAACAACAGCAGATAAAAGTAATTGAAGTGTTATAACAAGACAAAAAAATAATGAGTAAAGAATGCATTCAGATATGCACAAATATATGTTTAGATGACTAACCTTGTAGCTATCTCAACTTTTATAATTATATACAAACTTCTTTTTTTTCAAAATGTCTAAATTTTACCTTTACAACCTGATATTTGTTATATAACATTTCTTTGTTTAATTTTAAAGGTTTAAAAGATTTTTAGACTTTTTATTTTACATAAAATTTTATATTCCAGTATAACATCTTATTTTACAATTCAGATTCTACATAATTTTTATGCCATAAATTATGCAATTTTAATTTAATAGTCAGATGTCACAATCAACTAGCAAAATATTCATCTGACCAGTTAAAAATATATTTTATTTTAATGAATTTATTTATTTTTAAAATAACCAGACTATGGACTAGCCTGTAACTGAGTGATACAGTTATTCTCAACCTAGAAAACCCAAACATTCCTCAATATTTTTTTATTCTTTTATGGTTCTTTGAAGCCATTTTCAACATTGCTTTAGGAAGATCTTCTTTTGCATGATACAAGGTAAGTCATGTAAATTTCCACAGGAAACTAAAATTTTCTCTTACTGCTATTTATTGTTGTTTTATCATTGATAATTTTTTAAAACATATTATCAATATTAACACTTAACAATGTAATTAGTTCTCAAAACGAATTTAATACCAAAATTTTAAATTTCAAAGTAGATATAATTTATTTCCAGACTTGCTTGCTCTCTTTTTGCTTGAAACAATTGCTTTTCTCCATCCTCAAATCCTTCTTCATTTTTAATAAACAATGGGTGATCGGTTAATGAACAGTTCCGACTGTGAACAAATCAGATAATGAACACTTTCACAAAAAATTTTTGTTTGGACAACAAACACTTCACAGAGCAAACAGAAAAAGAAGTGACATAAAATAGTGAATACCAACTGGTCTTCCCTTCTCTCCAGGTGACAATTCAAAATCTTTCGGAGCCCTGAAGACATCAACATTGATTCTCAACCCAATACCAATCAGATAGTATTCCTCTGATTTTTTAAACTCTCCCTTGTAATTCCAGCTTTTTGTTTACCCTTCTGACAAATAATTTTTTATAGTCTTTGTGAGACTGTTGGGCACTTGTTAAGTTTGGCGTCAGTTTTTCTTTTCTAAAAGTGAGAGTTTAACTGTCGTATTGAATATTCATTAACGGTTTAATACCAAAATTTCGAATTTCATTTGGGCCTCACATTTACATAATTCTTTTGTGCACTAGTTGATTTCTGCTCTCTGAATTTTTGTAACTGCTTTTCTGAACTTTTTATTTAAAAAAGAAACTGATAATATTATTGAGCCTAAAATGAGTGGAGTGTCAAGAACTGTGCTCACCGTAGAAGCCAAGCAAAAGATAATAGCCAAGGTAGAGAGTGGACCCAACATGTCTGATGTTGCTAGGCAGTATGGCTTGAACAGGTCTACAGTAGGCACAATCTTAGCTAAGAAAGATATAATCAAGTAGTCTCAAGCAGCTAAAGTTGTAATGAAAATCACATCTGAGAAATAGAGCATTGAAGAGGTCATAATGGAACCTAAAACTGATGTGACAACAGAAGAACTCCAAGAACTCTTAAATGAAGGACTCTTGCCAACATCTGCTATTAAAGATCTTTTGAAGAAGTGGGAGGATGTCAGAACAAGTCATCCAAATGGCATCCAAACCAGAATGAGGTTAATAAGCTTGGGGATCTTTACAATGACAATACTATTTAATTACTTCCAAAAAATCCTGAAGAAGAGAGAAAATCAATTGACATTGGACAGATTCTTTAACCCCCACAAACAGAAAAAAACATGACTAATAAAAATGCAAGACTGTGTATATATGTATTTTTACTATTACATATAAATAAACATAGTAAAAAAGTATATATTTTTTATTTTCTGGAGTCTCCAGAACAAATTAATCAAATTTCCATAAAAACCTATGATAAATCGATAATCGGTTAACGAACAATTCAGATAGCAAACAAAGTCTTGGAATGGATTATGTTCATTAACTGATTACCCACTGTACATTAGAATTAATCAGTTACCTTTGCCTGTTAGCTATTTGAATCTAGTTGTTAGTCCTCTTTGGAATACGTTTTTATAAAACAACTAGCTGTTACACGCAACTTCATCCGCGGAGGTTTTGCAAGCAAACCCCATTTACATTCAATATTTCAATAACCATAGTAATTGTTATATAACACCTACCGCTGAAGAGAATTACCGAGAATCAAACAAACTATCTTCAATTTGATAAATTTTCTGGAACATTTACAATCGTTCTATAATCGAACCAACATGCAATAACAAATTTGAATTTAAAACAGATTGAACATTTTTAATTAAAATCGAAATAGATAAAAATATTTATAACAATATCTGAAATGTTATCAATTTAATACACCTAAGTACTCAATGAAGACTAAACGTAGTTGAAAACAAAAAATCGTATCTAAAATAGTACAGTAGAAGCCATTTTTCTGGTTAAGCCTTAATGCTCTACCTCTCCCCCGTGGGGAAATTTTGAAAAATCCTTCCTTAATGTGAATTCCCATGGCATACCCTACTAAAACGCATATAAAAAGAAAAAAATTGCATCTAAAATAGTACAGTAGAAGCCGTTTTTTCCAGTTAAGCCTTAATCCTCTCCCTCTCCCTCCGCGGGGGAATTTCGAAAAATCCCTTCTTAGTGTGCGTTTCCATGACGTACCCTAACTGTCTACCAAATTTCACCTCTCTAGGTTAAGCGGTTTGCTCTGGGCAATGATGAATCAGTCAGTGAGTCAGTCAGTCAGTCAGAACAAGCAATTTTATATATTTAGATTAATGTTTGAAAAAATTGTAGACCTATAAATTCCCATTGTCTGTCCATTCTTCCTTAATCCTGAGAATGGAGTTAGATACGTGAAAGTCAAGACCAGATATAGAAAGCTTAGATGTATTTTCTTTAGCAGGAGACCCCAATTAACTATATACAAACTTCTGATATACACCAGAAGTCATATGATTTCAATTCAAAAAATTTCCCCAGAAAGGAGTTACATAGATGATTGGCATGTCTCTGTTATTGTCAGGAAAAGTATGATGTACAGGGGCAAGACACTACTAATTTGAGATCAAAAGCATATATTTTAAATCAGGGGTGTCCAACCCGCGGCCCGCGGGCCGCATGCGGCCCAAGGCAAGTTCCAATGCGGCCTAATAAACGTGTAAACAAAACCGACAAATGTTTTAATTTTTTTATTATTTATTTATTTCAACGGCATAAACTCAAGAAAAGTTTCACAAAGCCATAAACCTTTATTCATATTTTATTTTTGAGTGGAAAGAAAATATTTTCAAATGCTTTGAGATGTGTGAATGCGGAATGATTACTAAATAAAGCTGGAGTTGTGACTCAAAGGATTATAGACCCAAATTTGGGAAAAGGAGGGAAAGATGAGAAAGGACAAAAGATGTAGTAGTGAGAAACGTTAAATAGATCTTCTGTTAAGCAAATATGGACCCGTAATTTTTCAACCTTTTTCACTTCTTTATCTTTTGTCCTTTGCCTCTTTTTCCCCGCACTTGGGTCTATAATCCTTTGATTCACAGCTCCAGCTTTATTTAGTATTTCTTCCAACGTTGCAAGATTTGGCTAATTGGGCCAAATGTGGCTACTTTTTTTGCTTCACGTAAAAAATATCATTTGGCGCTTTGGCTACTTTTTCGGCTACATATTATTTGTAATTATATTAATTGAATAAAAATGCACTTTAAAATGATGTTTCATCGCTTTTTATTAATTACAGACCCAAATAAAACAAATATTTGTGCTTTTCAAATAAATTTTCTTTACTCTCTTTTATAATAAATGAATTTATCTATTTCTAAGTAAAAACTGAAAGTGTCTGTAGACATTTTCAGTTTTTACTTAGAAATAGATAAATTCATTTACTTAGAAATAGATCTGAAAAATGTAGAAGTAATTTTTTAAAATATCCTTTTTTCTTGATAAAATTTTAATACTTATTATTATAATCTAGACATGTTAATTTTTAAATATACTTGTATATTGGGCCACAAGTATATATTATATATACTTGTGGCCCAAAACTCCTTGACTTTTTCCAATGCGGCCCAGAGAAACAAAAAGGTTGGACACCCCTGTTTTAAATTAAATAAATTTAAAATGTGATTAAAAATTGCAGCCTGGCATTGTGACAACATTACAATAAATAATTGCTCGTCTATATTTTATTTTTCATTTATAAAAAGTAAACTTTTATACTTAAATATGCACATATCACTTCTGTAATTTTAATTATTTTATTGCTTACATTAATTTTTAAGAAATATTCATCCATATGTAGATAATAACTTACCTCTAAAAGTTCATCTCCTACACAAAGTTTACCATTTCTCCCAACAGGACCATTAGAAAGAATTGAGCCAATGTAATGATGAGGACGTACTTCTTTGCCATCTTCAACATCAACAGTACCCTCTAAACTAATTCCTAAACCACCACCTTCTTTAAACTTTGTTATCTGTGCTACCTATAGATTTAAATATATTTTAATGATAATATAAATATCAACTTAAAATTTCAAATAATTACAACTTTAAATTCTGTATCAATGCAGACTTTATATGCTGATGGAATATATATATATATATAAAGAACATATAAAAAACAGTTAGAATAACAATCACTTCAATAAAAAAGTCAATATTTTTATTGCCAGAAACATTGCAAATCATCATCCTATTTCATCATCAGTTAACAGCTTTCAAATTTAAACAGATTAAATTTAAATGTGTTTTTATAAAATTCCAAATCTGTATATAATTCAAGTTAAAACACTTTAGGCTGGCATTCTTGGAAGTTGACAAGAGCCAGGCTGCAAAAGTGATTTACTATTTTATAACAAATTCTTAACAAGTATGTAATAATCAAAATTATAGCCTTAAAAATAACCTATGAATAATCTAGCAGTTAANTGTACACAAAATCAATTTATCATCCTTGACTTTTTTCAAATAACGCTACACATTATTCATATTTAAATTTTAAAATTAAAATCAATGTAGAAACTAGAGTAAATTAATTTTAAAATTACAAACTTTTCAAATGTTATTTGTTAAATACTTAAGACTCCAGAATTTACCAACATCTGAAACACTGACCTCTTTTGTGTGGGAATAATACGTGACTAATATTTACTGTAGTACTTTATTTATATTAGTAAAATACAATATTAAAACATTAATTCTACTAAATTCCAAACGGTTTTGAAACCGGTTTGGCATCTAATATTTAAAAGCCGGTTTTATTGAAAGCAGATTAACTGATTTCGAGAATTTCTAAATTTTGACAGTACTAGTCTATATTCATTTCGTTCTGTTTCATTGAAATGTATTTTACTATTTTTATCTTTGCATATTCGCTTATCAAGGAAATCTTGCATAGGTTGTCTCTTATTAGGCAAATATTAAAATTTTTTTTCTTTCAATATAATCCTCAGCAATGGTTCTTACGAAAAACTATCATGTCATATGGTGTGGACCATCACACTAATCTTTGCTTTCTTTTTATTGACAGTAATGTTCTTTGCTCTCCAATTTCTACCATTTGATTTCTTTTTTTATCCCATTGATCTTTAACATTTTATGTACGACTAGGGTTTAAAAGCTTTCAGTTTCTTTCCAGCTGCATTAATGACTCATGTGCCAATGCTCCAGGTAAAGATTTCTCAGGATTCTTTTCTACAAATTTATATTTAGCTATTTTTTACATAAAACATTTTTCATTTCTTTAAATATTAATTTATCTTCAGAAATTGATCTCTTCTATATTTGTTTGGCATCTTCCATGCGTTATATTCAGCTTTATATAATTTGGCTTAGGTGCTTGTTAATAATTATAAATTATTCTTAAAAATACAGATTAATAAAACAATGACTTTTAACAAGTAATATCATGCATTAAGTTAAAATTGATTATTTTAATGATTTGAAAAAAATCAATAAAATTCAAGAAAAATATTTATATATATAAATATGTGAATTGTTCTTTAAATTACTTAATTAATTTTATCAAATTGAGTAAAATAATTAACAGAAAAGATTCTATTGAATTTTACTTTCAGTTCGTGCTTTAAATATATTGTTAAGGTTTTGATTATTTTAATATCTTATTTAATTCTTTTAACAGAGATTACTAAATTGCACAACATTTGAATAATTTATTTTATTTGTTTAACAATTCACAGTATAAATACATCGTGGTAAAATCAATCTTAATAATAATTTATATTAAAATTTTATTTAAAATTTTTCTAAAATTTAAAATATTATTCACAAAAATATAACTTAAAAATTAGAAATAGAAGAATTCTATCCGTGAATACTCGAACATTGCATTGATAAAAAATACATTCCAATACTACGAATACCTCCAATACCATTCCATACACAATCACAGTGATGAATCCAAAAGTACTCAAATAGGAGTTAACTCAAAAATTATAAATACTTGAATAATTACTAAGTAACTTTTATTAACACTTGCACGGCGATTGTATTGAGAATTGCCCAATAAATTATATTTACCATCTTAAATATATATTTAAAAAAACCATTTTGAAGTTCCCATTTGATATCATTAATATATATATTTTTTTGTCATATAAGATGCACTGTTGTATTGGTCACATCACATTTTTTACATCAATTTTTTGGCAAAAATATTCTTCACAGTATAAGATGCATTTTGCCTTATAAGACACATTCCATTTCTAGGATGCATCCTAATTTTCAGAAAAAGTTTAGGTACAAAAAAAAAATGTTTATTGTAAGATAAAAAAGTATGGTATGCCAATAAAATTATCTAACAAAATTTTTTCTTCTTATGTTTTTAAAAGTTATATTTATAATCCCTGAATAACATAAGTCAACAGAATATTTTATCTCAAAATTTTGATTCTCAGAAAAAAATATAATTGATTATAGCCTAATTAATATATAAAAAATGTAAATGTCTCAAAATTGATTGTAATGAATTACATTTTTTCTGAGATAATCAATTTTGAGACATTACATTTTAAGCAGGGTATAAAAACAAGCCAGCCTCAAATTGCTTTATCAGACTTTCAATCAACTGTCTACTATACCCATGCTGAGATACCACATTCTTAATATACCTCAGCTCTTTTATTGTGTCCACTTGGTTGGAACAATATGTAAATGCATATCTTATTAATACCTTAAAAGCAGAGACCTTATATAGAAATGGGTCATGCAATGCCACTGGAATATAAAATGGATGGAACTAAGGATTCCTGTATTTATCAGTTTTCATCTCTCTTTCTCTTAGTGAACTCATTAAATTTAGAAAATGCACAAATTGTCTGCTTTCCTGCTCCAATTGTCAAATAAGTCCATATGGATTTGCATTGATCCTGGACAAGAATACATCCAGAATTGAAGAGAAGGCATAACTTTGAAAGGAACACTGAGGCAAGCTTGCAACAAAAAAAAGAGGGAAAGAAATACAAAAGAATGATTGAGGATGGCCAGATATAATACACTGCTGCAAGATACATTATAAAATAGCGGTGATGTCTGGGAACAGTAACTTAATACATTCTATTAACTGAATATTACAGTAAATCACACTTTAAATAACCTTTGTAAATCTAGCACTAAAATTTAATTTAACATGAAAATATCCTGAAAATATTTTTGATCAATACTGATCTTTCAGATCATTTATATTCTAAAATTAGAATGTGTTGAAGAATGTGTTACACAATTTAAAATTAAATAAATAGTATGTTTAAAATTTAAAATTAATTAACAATTATTTATTAAGACATTGTCATAATGCTGGACTGCAATTTATCATCACAATGTTCTCAATTTTTTTAGTAGTGCCTTTGCACCTGTACATCATACTTTTCCTGTTAGCAATAGAGTCATGCCATTCATCTAACTTTTTTCAGGGGAAATTTTGAATTGAAATAATGTAATGTAATAATTGTAATAATGTAATAATGTAAATAATGAAATTCCAGTGCAAACCAGAAATTCGTATATAGTTTATCTAATCTCCTGCTCGTAATCTTTCCCTATCTGGTCTTGACTTTCATTTATCTAACTCTGTTCTCAAGATTAAGGAAAGATAGATAGACAAAGGATAGTGGAAATTTATATCTACAATTTTTTAAAATTGCAGCCTAATATATAACATTATATAATCTTAAAAGAGTTTCATAGTAGAATATTTACTACATAATAAATGCATTAATTAATCAAACAATACCAGTGCACTGACCACTTCAGAATGCTAAAAGTGTTGGAAGTTTAGAAAGCTTAAGGGCAGGTATACAAAATACAAAGAAGAACCTTTCATACTCCTGACAATACTTTTACAATAAGCCAAAGTCATCCAATATAAAGTAATGCTGATTTTATGCAATTCAATTTTTTATTTGAGTATTCATAATTTTTATTAATTTTTTAACTAATGCATTTATTATGTAGTAAATATTCTGTTAACAAAATCCTCCAAAATTGTATAATATAGTAGACCCCTCTATAAAACGGGTTCATATAATATGGATTCGTATATAATGGGAAAAAAAAATTGTATCATATAAACACTAAAAGAAACTCGTGTAATATGGTAAAACGTCATCGCTGACTCGTGTCACAACAGGATTGGTTGAATCTAGACCAATAGCAGATATTGCACAAACTGTTGAGTTTAAATGAGCAGCAGACCTACTAAAAACCATTTATTATTTAACTGCCATAAAAATTATATTTATATTAATGATGTCTCCAAAGTTCAGCGAATTTTTTGCAAAAAAATAATTTATCAGGAAACATAAACTTGCTGTTCAATGTACCGTTCCACGACGAAAACAAGCTTAAGCAATGGCATAGTTGAATGGTACACACTTGGTAAGTAATCCTACAATTTTCTGTATAATTTATAGCATAATTTATAGCATAATTTATAGCATAATTTATATGGATTATTCCCAAAAAATTATACGTTTTTTGGAAATGTTGAGTCAAATTAGTCTAGAATTGATTAATTTTAAGGAAGAAAACCTTTCAAACAGCCGTATTCCCTAAACTGCATACGTGCTGGGCTGTGATTGGCTCATGTATTTAAGTGATCGTAAAACACAAATTCATATAAAACGGAACATATCTACCGTATTATAGGAGGTCTACTGTATTTTACTGTATTTTTCAGACTGTATAACATTATACATTAATTTTAAATGTTATAACATGTACTACAATGCATTCCAATTTTAGAAAGTAAATGACCTGAAGAAGATCAGTATTGATCAAAAACAACACCTAAACATTGAAAAAAACCTTTTAATATGCAGGCAGTTTTTATTATCTATTCAAATGCTTTTGGTCATTTTTAATGACTTTCAAGAACAAAAATCAAATGATTCTGATTTTTATACAACAAACTCTGTTTTGAAATGTTTTATAATTTGAACTTTCTAGTGAGCAATCTCGTAAATATAAAATTACAATATATATGTGATAATAACATGTACTGTACAAACATACAAATAAAGTAGATACAAACATAAAAAATGAATAAATAAAAATAAATAAATATGTAAATAAAGTAACATAATTGAAAACATAAAAATGCCACAATTGCACCTATTTCTTTAAACCATCTCTTTTGCCTACTAATATATATATATTACACCCACCCTCCATATTACAGGTTTTTTAGGTTTAGTTGTTGTTATGAAGTGCAGTTAGAGAAGAATGTAAAGATCAAAAACGTTTGTCAGAATAATTTCAATGTTAAATTAAATTTTAGTACTGAATTTACAAAGATTATTTAAAGTTTTATTTACAGGAAACAGCAATCATTATAAAGGAATGTTTCAAATATTGAGAAACGATAAAGATCCTGTGAGTCCCACACAGATGCCTAGTATGGGTATAAAGTGATGTTACAGGACAAAAGAGCTTTGGATGTTAAAATTAAAGAGCACAGATACAGAGTGAAAAAAGGTATGAAATCTACATTGTTGGCAATTTTTGCATCAGAGCCCAGAATAGATGTGAAGTGAGAAGATGCTAAGATTATTTGTCCAATCCATGATATCATGGATCTACAAGTCTGGGAAAAGTTGGACATATAGATCATCTAAAACAGGAAGAAATATCAATTCTAAGTATGCCAAAGACCTATATAATGCTTGGAAGTTACATTATAAGGTTTGTTTAGTGTTTAGGAGTGACTCTAACCAAAAATGGATATGGTTAAACATGTTTGTATAGTGCTGTAGTTATTTTAAGTGTTTTGATATGTTGTGATAGCTACTTTTATTCATGTGTAGTTTAGGAGTGATTCAGTTGTTATTAACTGATTCAAAATCATGTAATATTTTTTGGTTTTCAAATGAATCTATATGGTTCAATTCTATAGAATATATATTTTAAAATTTAAGTAATTTTTCCATTTCTGATTATTCAATGTTTCATGATAAAATTCTCACAAACACCAAGACCAGTTAAAATCACAACAGATTTTACTCATACAAATGTTTTCAACTGTTTAAAAATAGATATAATCAGGTCTTTATTATGTTTAACCAGTTAATGCAGTAGTGAATCCAATGTTCTATGGTTTGAATTTTTGTGATATGTCACATTTAAACTTTTAGAATGAATATTCTTTTTGGAATATTATGTTATTCTATATATGGTTACATGGTGATGGGGATTAAAGCCATCCAAAAACAGTGCGGAAAAAGAACAGATTTGCTGGAAAGAGGTGAAGTATTTTAGTTTAACAAAATCCAATTGAAATTTGTTGGTAGTTTTTGCATCAGAGCCCAATATAGATATGACTATTAAACTGATTATTAAATAGTTGGGTTAAATTTCTTTTACACTCTTTTTCACTTAAACTATACAAAATTGTCAATAGAAAGTCACTTGAAATCTGCAGAAATTTATGTATTAAAATTTCCTTTCAAAATTATTATTGGATCAAGAATGTCTAGGAACAATGATAATATCAGTCTTTTGATCATATTGAAATTTTGACCCTGTTTGTCTTTTAAATTTGTTGAGATTTTGAATGACATGCCACTTAGGTGGTAATAGATTGTCACAAATGAGTATGTTTTTAAAATCTCTTTTAGAAAGTTATAAGTGCAAACATTCATAAATAAAACTACACAAGTGTATATTCTAATAAAATCATTCCATATATATGTTTTTTCATTCATTAAAACTTTAAGACTATAAGACAGTTTTAAACATGTTAAACTTTTTAAGTACATCTCATTTTGTATATGGTATCAAGCATTATCTGCTATGACTCATTGACTGATGTGTGCATAACCTGGCAGTATTTGAACAGCAATTTAACAAGCAGCTTGATACATAATTGAATATTGAATATCAATGATGCTGCAATTTTGAAATTTAATGGTTTTGTTATTACAATTAAAATAATTGATTTTTCAATTATTTTTAAGTGCTATGATAGTGTTTTAAGAGTGAAAATATTAGGTATTGTATTTTATAAATATTAGTATTTATTATATTTTCAGACTCTCTCCTCATCAGTTATGGCTGCCAAAAAGAAGTGTAGACAGTATGTGGAGGAGTATTTGGATTATAGCTTTGTAGATAGCTCATATGATCAAAAACAACTTATAAAATATTTAAAAAAAAACAACCCGATAAAATTGCTTATTTTGAAAACTTGAAAATAATTTTAACCAACGAAATACCATCTCATCTTTTTTCAAAAGAAGTTCAGAAACAAATAAAAGTGGATTGATTGCATCTGATTAAATAGTGCAAATAATTGCAAAAACTAGAATTGCACATACTGAAAATGTTATATGGCTTTTCTTTGAAATTCTCATGAAAACTCTGTTGCATTGAGATTCAGTGAATGTTTTAAAAACATTATCACTAAGCAATAATTCATTCAGAGAAGAATTAATGGAATGTCATCTGATGTGGAAAACCAGCTAGTTTAAAAATTAGAAAATAATACATTCTCAATTCAAATAGACAAATATATAATAAATGATAAGAGAACTATTCTTATGGCATACTTCTATTTCATAGATGATGACTGCAAACTTTGTGAAGAGTTGTCATTTGTAAAACTTTCAGAAACTGATACTACAGGATTGTCTATTTTTGAAGCTGTAAAATCTTGGTTTGATAAAAAAAAAAAAAAAAAAGCAAGTAGCTTACCATTTGAAAATCTGCTATCTTATGTAGGGAACAGTGCTCCATCCGTGGTAGATAAGCTTAGGGATATTGGAACAATTTCTGTCTTTCAATTCTTACAGTGCATAGTATGGAATTCCATCATCATTTGGTTGCCAAAAATATCAATCCTGATCTTCATGGTATCATTAACATAAGTTATTAAAAATTGTTAATAAAATTAAATCTCACAGCAAATATGACCTTTTTCAAAAGTTTTGCATTGATAGAAAAGAGCAAATGTAAGACATGGAAGTCTGAGAATTTCAATGCCCAAGTTAACAGAAATAATTAGACATCTCTCAGACCAAACTAATAAAATATACACAGAATATTTATTGAAATTAAAATAAAATGTAAGTAACCAATTTTCAGATTTATTTTCATTTGAGGTTCAGCTATGGATAATGGATCCTTTTGGCTGTGATACAGAATTTGTCAATAAAAATATCTAACAACAACTTATTAAACTAAAATGCAATTAAGAATGCAAGTACAAATTTGAAAAAGGTGGAATAACCGAACTATGGCTGTCAAATACAGCTAAACAGCTGTATCTGAACATGTCTGAAATGGCTAAAATTCTGTTATGCTTTACAACTTCATATTTGGTTGAATGTGGATTTAGTGAAGTCAATAAAGTTGTGAGAAAAGAAAGTAAAATTGATATATGTATTTGAGAACACATAAAACTAAAACTTACAAATAATAAAATCTTACAGCAGAGTATCAACCACAAGGATCACATTAATAAACAATGTAAGTAAATTATCCTTTCAATTTAATATTTTTGCAAGTGAGCACGGTACAGGGCAATTACTTTGAAAAATAGCAGAAAGGGGCAATAGTAGGAAAAAGGTTGAGAAAGCCTGATTTAGAAGTATAGTTGAAAATGTCTATTATTGATACATTATGCATTGCATGGTACACTCATAATGACTTCTGATTTTTGTTTTGGACTGTGAATTTTAACACATTATCAATTCTAAGATGCATTTCTGTTTCAGACAATAAAAATAGACAAAAAACTGCATCTTAGAATTAAGAAAATACAGTATATAATATTTTGTTTTGAAAATTTATAATAGAAAATAAATTTAATCATTTCTAATGTTAAAAATTTTAACATAATGTTTTCATTCAATATTTAAATAAAACATAAATTCATTTTAATTTTATTTAAAACTAATATTTGTATGAAATATTGAAAAATATAATGTTTTGGAATTAAAGTAATGTAATAAACTTATATTCCTTTTAATTTTTAGTATTTATAAATGAAAATATAACTTTTGACAAACTGATATTATTTCTAATTTTCAATAGTATCATATATAGTAAGAATCAAATCTACTTACAATCATTTTCATCTGTTAACTGTTCTTTCTGAATTGTTTCCTTTAAGTTTCCCAAATAAGATAAAGTGTTCACTTTTGGTTCATGAACTTGTGCTTGTGTTGTTGCTGGAACACAATATTCTCCTGTAACTATATAGAAAATAAAATCAATAAAATATTTACATATATTTCATTTTTTTTTAATTTCAAATTATTTTTATTTTATTTTAATTCTGAAACATAAAATTTGTTGATAACAATAATGGTCAACACAGCCCACAGCTGGACTTGACCCATCAGATTGTTTATTATGGACTGTACATTATACTTCCAGCAACCATGCAATTACATCATGAGAAACAGCTACTACATATGCCAGCATATAAGTGGATTCTTTAAGCCTAAAAACAACCTAAAACTAAGAGATAAATATACAAGTACAAGCAGTTATTTATTATGACATCATCAGAAATACTATTTTTATCATACTTTTAATTTATTTAATTTAAAATATATGCTCTCCACCTCAAATTAGTAGTGTCTTGCCCCTGTACATCACTGTACTTTTCCTGTTAGCAACACAGTCATGCCAGGCATCCATTTAATTCCTTTCAGAGGAAAATTTTGAATTTAAATAATGACTTCCAGTTTGCATCAAAAGTTTCTATATAGTTGATCAAGGCCTCTAAGGTTTCCATATCTGGTCTCGTCTTTCATCTAACTCCATTCTCAAGATTAAGGAAAGACTGACAGATGACAGTGAGATTTTATAGATGTACAATTTTTTCAAATTGCAGCCCAACAAAATGCAAACTTTTACTGCAGAATGGTAAATAAGTAAAAACTAACTAACAATCACTTATCTTTGGTGAACTTATTATATTATTCTAAATGTTAAAGAGTAAAAGTATAATTGAATCTATATTAGGTTGTCATAAGTTCAAAATCAGAAATCATGACACTGTAAGTGAGGTACTATTGTGATAAAATCTGATGGATACTCAGCATTAGATAAGCAGCAACTACTCAAGAAAATAAGTGACTAATTCTAATTAAACTAATTTTATTAAATTAGCAATTTATGAATTTCTAAGTTACCCAAAGCAACATACAAGCCATGATATGCTTTATTCCAATGATATTGAGATTTCAATTAAATGCACACATCCAGCAGTAATTTTGGTTAAATTGGTTAAATTACTGATAAATTTGAATATAGTGGTAAGCTATGGTACATACTACCTATATGACATTGTGCTGTACATATCCAGTTAAGCATGCTAAAAAAGTCAAAAGTGTCTTCAAGCTAAAAGCAATAATTTCAGTTTCATCAGCTATGTAGTACTGATTGAGAATTGAAACCTTCTCAGCTTTTGCAATTTTACATTTAGATAAAATTGGAATAAAAAGTCTACACATCAGTCTTGAGGATGATATCATAAGACTTTCTGCTTCTGACATTATTACTCTTTGAATCTAAGTCATCTAGTTTAGAGAGATCATGACATTAATATTAATAACATAAATTGATAATAATCATGGTTTTACAAATTTATTGGGTTTCATTATGTTTCTTTATGTTAGTAATAAAGTATCATCACAAGAATCAAAAACCAGCAGAAATTTTAAAAATCTCATATTAGTGAACATTTTCCTCCATATTAGATATCTTCAGGCTCTTAACATTCTGAATCCAAACCGTATGTGATGAAACACTTCAATTCAAAATATTTCTAACTTGGTTTTTGTGACAGTAGTTTATTTAAAGTTAACCAGTTTTTAGTATTAGTCATTTGTAAATTGATGATATTTTAAAATTATTTTGTTTTTATGATTACTACAAAATAATTAAATTTTGAATGTAACAATTTCAGGATCATTTTCTCTTATTCCCATTCCTAATGCAATCATTTTGAGCTTATAAAATTAAAAATTCTGGCTCTCCAATAATACATTTATTACTTTATGATCCTCAGCCATTCTAAAGTTGACTCCTATTAGTTAAAATAGAAATTATTAGACTCATGTTCAATCTTAAGCTGGTTTTGCTTTACATCAATATTTTAATACACTAAAAAATTTAAAATTATTTCTAACTGTTAATTGAAATTATATAACTGTTACTCTAAACAAATTATTTGTATCATCTATTAATAATAATAAAATAATATCTGAATTAAATATATAAGATTTTTTATGGTAAGTTAACAAAATTTTTTTTTTCATATAAATTTTGCCTTAAATAATGTTTTCAAAAGAATTTTTAACAATTAAAACAGTAAATTTAATACATAATTATAAAATGAGGATAAACATAGCCATTATGATGAATAATTTACTTTTAAATTTGTCTAGTCAAATTGCTTCTTTTTCACGGTTAAAATTATTTCAATTTTGCTTTTACACTAAAAAAATAAAAATGTTTGAAAATCATTTTGTAATAAAGTTACAGATACAGAAACATAACATAATTCTCCCCTTTGATATTTACCATATTGATCAATTAATATCTGCTTAAAAATATACTAATAAAAAATTTATTTTGCTGTTTTGTGGCTACACACCTGTTTTCTTTTATTAATATTGTTATTATTATTAGTCCGTATAGTTTTAGTTTAATTTAAATTCTAGAATTTTCCTTCCTTCCGATTTCTTTGTTCCTTTGTCTCGGACTTCCGAGAACTCGCCTCACCCCTAACCCATCAGGGGGTAGCCTTAGAACAAAAAGAGAAAACGGGGCAGGAAGAGACGGAAAACAAAGGGTTTTGAGGTATTCTTAGGCCGGACTCGGAGAGCGAGAGACGAGTGGCAGCAGGCTCTGGAACGGAAAGTTGGGGAGCGCTGCAGGAGGAGGCCGTAAGTAGCGGATCGACAGAAGAATCTGGTCGACGATTATAAAGAGAAATGCCAAAACAGACCCAAATCATCCTAAAAAGAGAACAGATAAGAACGAAGCCGAGACGAAAAACGATGGAGAACCAATAGGAAAATTGGGTACCCTCTGTTCTTTAATTCTTCTTATTTCCCCTTTCTATCTTTTCTATCTCTTAGTTTAATTTAGTTTTAAGTTAGTTTAAGTTTACGCGCACAACTAAATTTGTCGGGAGGTAGTTACCGAGAAAGAAACTACCGGTCTATTGGTATATCTGATAGCTCGGGATTTTCGAAACGTTTGTAGGTAAACAGCGGGAATCCGAACTTATTCTGTATATATATTAATGTTAACGCGAAATTAAACTTGTTTAATTAGTAAAACGTGTCTGTGTTTTCCTGTCCGCACTGTACATTTTCACAGTTTAATCTATATTTGTTTGCATCTATAGCATTAAGATATGTTATAGTACCATTATTGTGCATGTTTTCCTTGATAATAACTATGATAAATTTTTTGAGGACTGACTACAAAATCAATATGTTTATTTTCTTATGAAGCAACTTCTTATATAGAGATTTCATAGTGTGCATGAAAAAATCGAACAGAATAATGCATTTTATTTTGTTCTGTAGTTTTGTGCAAAAACAAAAACAGTTTTTTTCTAAATGATCAATATTTTATAATAGAACCACAGAATAAAAATAATATGCATTTTCCTGCTCAATTTTTATCATGCACACTATGAAATCTCTCTATTTATTAATTAAAATGAATAGTAATAGTAATAATAATAATAATGATTAGACTTAAATATTTACATATAGCTTGTTTTAACTGCTCATATTTAACTCCTCTGAGGTAACGAGCAAGCCTTAATTTAACAACTTTTCCTGTATTACGCAATACTTCTACAGCTTGATGATTAGTGTAACCTTGTAGAGTTCTTCCATCAACCTTTTAAAAAAAGAGAATATACAAAATATTAATTCAAATGAAAAAATACATTATGTCACGTTATAGTTATTTAATAATTCTCTTAGACTACTAATTATATTTTATTCTTCATTTTATCAAGAACATGACATGATTTTCTACTAATTTTCTAGCCACAGTGAAAATAAAAACATCTTTAGGATTTAATTACAATTCTTTGTGTTATCCAGTTAATATAAGAATTTATTACTCAAACATGTGCAGCCAGCAGCCTACCAACTGCAGCAGCCAGTTAAAACACGTGTGATTGTAGCATGTTTTGAAAATTTCATCACATCATAAATGTTAAATGCCCATCTTAAAGATCAAAATAAAAAGAGATCAATGTAATTTGACAGTAATTATAAACTCAATTGATATGTAGCAAATTTAGCAATCCAGCTCACAACTAAAAATCAGCTCATAGAATTTACATAGAGAAATTTAACATCAAATTTTTCAGCCCATAGGCTTCCTGCCTATAAGTTTTGCACTACTAATGGAGACCTCTTGCAGTAAAATAGTGAACTTTGTAACTACAAACAACAGAGTCATGACTGAGCTAACATGGCAAATTCAGTGAATTTTTTATCTGGAATAAAGAAATGAAATATTTGTATTATAGCATGGTAGGATGTAATAATTCTTATAATAATATCACAGAGGTAGATTTTTATTTTTTATAAATGAAAAAAGTTCCAGTTAGAAGAAAGGCATGGATTAATGCTATATGAAGGCCTTACTTTTATTTATCCATCTTCATTAATTATAAAAGCATTCCTAAGTTTTAATGGATATTTTATTTCCAATAAACAATAATGTCTGTCACTGTCTCTGATAATGCCATCAGGAGAAACAGCATTGCCATGGCATTTCTGGGCATTGCACTCTTCATTAAGCAGATATCTGAAGAGTTTTCTATTAGTATACTATATTTGGATCAGCTGGATATATGTGTTGGTTTATTTTCCTATATCTTTTTCTTGTTCCAAAAATGTGGCTAAGTCTTGTTGCTTGTTTGTATTCCTTTTTAAAGTTGCTGCTTTATTCCAAGCTTGTGGTAAACTTTTTCTTGATTCTATTTTTTCTTTTTCATTAATAAAAAACTAAGATGTGCTGCATGCTAGCATCTACCAAGAAGTCCTGCCCTGTATGAGCAGACGTCATTAATCATTTTCCATTGGTCATTATGCTGGAAAAAAAATATACTGCCATTAAGTTAATATGTTTATGTTGAATTTTTTATCAGTTCTCTTATGTCCTATGTTGTTGACAGCAANGAATGTACTATATATCATGTTTAAGTCTATTCATAAATTTTCAATTTTATTTTTAATTTAGTACTGTAAAGAAGTTTTTTTTAATTAAATATTCAATATTATTATCGAATAAGCTAATTCTTTAACAAAGAATTAAATCAGGAATTATATATGTACAAATTAATATTAATTGTCAACGTATTAAAATTCATAATAAATCATCGTTAATAAAATTTGGTATTGTATTCAAAGTGCTTGTCAAGTTAATTTATAGACTTATTTATCATTACTAGATGTCTCTCTTGTAAATTAGATGTATCTTGTAAATGAGACATCTAATAATAATAAATAAGTCTACGAATCAGCTTGGCAAGCACTTTGAACACACATTAACCAAATTTGTTAACAATGATTTAATCGACACGTAGTGTATATGGCGTATGATTCATAAGCCATATACACTGGGTGTCGATTAATTTACATTGTTAACATTGCACCATGTAAAACAGTTTGACCATCTAATCAATCAAATAAACATAAACATATTAGCTTGCATTTTTATATTTTTAACTATTATAAAATGGCAAAACGCTTAAATTTTGTAGGTAGGAGTGGGTTTAATAAAAAAATTGTAAATGCAAATAACAAGTAAAATCGTCATTAAGTCTGACCCTACTAGAGATATGATACGACACCCTTTATCTCCCCATCCAGTCGACCTTTAAACACCAAAATTTAATAGCAAAAATCCCTCTAATACACAAACCTCCCTGCAAAATTTCAGAAAATTTCAAGAAAAAGCACGTGAGTTATTAAGCTTCAAAGAAGGTAAACAAAATCGTACCACACACATACATACACTGACATCCATACATACAGAAAAAAATCTCTGAACATATTTGCATTTCTCGACGTTTCAAGCTCCCCTGAATCCAAAAATGTAAAATTCTCGAGGATCATTTTTTGACCGATCGCCATACTTTCCCTCTATTATGTATAACATCCGGAAAAGTAAAATTGAACTTACAAGTTAGTGCATCTGCTTACCCAATCAGAAAATTACTTTTTTGCCTAAATTTTCTCTCTTTCAAATCATATATGACTCCCTGATTTTTATCAGTTTTTCAATATTTCAAAATAAATTGAAAAAAACTGTATCTTTTATATACAATTATACAAATGAGCCTAAAAACTAATTAACTGAGAACATCAAAGAACTAACTGAAGTAGGCTACATATTTGGATAGCAAAAAAGTTTTACTCCAGATAACTTATAGAAATACTGTACTGAACGACACAAATTGTGTATTAAACACGAGAATCACATCTTCAGAAATTTTTTAAGTTTTATTCGGACCGTTTTAAAATAAAAAGCTTTAGCGTACGGTCAGGGGCGCCGTTAGCTGTTTGAACGCCCGTGTGCAATACCGATTATGCCGCCCCCTGTTTAACTACGATTACCTATGCTGAGCTTGCGNTCAAATCTCAAAAAAAATGAAAAAGCAGTAAAGTGAGAATATAACATTGGAAATGGCATTATTAAAAAGTAATTTATTTTATTATAAATTTTATAATAAAAAAACCAGCAAAAAAACAATCAAATAACTCTTTCATTCGAAGTTATAAAGCAATAAATTGTTTCGAATACAGTATATATTCATTTGTGAAAAACTTATTTTAATAACAATTCATTTGCTTATTTGAATACGATATGAGCAGCATCTTTTTTTCTATGGTAATAAACCTATTATTCGTCATAGTAATTCTAATCTAAACAAAAATTTGTTTAAAGCGTTCGATTTTCAGGAAAATAATTTATAATTTGTATTGATTCATAATGTGCATATATTTACTAAAATATTTATAGTTATTTTTATTCAAATTAAATTTAAATTTGAGAGAGACGTTTTCATCAATAATCACTTTTTTAATCAATAAGTGTTGCAATCGATGATATAATCAACACCTCAAAATAAATACAAAAGCACGTATTATATTAGTTTTTACTAAATTTGATATTTATACTAATACTTGGTCATTTGCTACTTAATTAATTGAGAATCTTGAGTCTTGGATAATTAATTGTGAAAATGTTAACTTACTTTCTTTGTTGAACATTGTTGAATTTCTATAAAACAAGATAGATAATTTCCAGACCAATAATTTCTCACAAAATCATTAATCACATATGGTTGTCTGCCCTAAATACAGAGAAAATTCGGAACTTTGGGGTGACTTCCCAGAAACATGAAAAAATGAGTTGTTATTCCCAAGGTCTTCAATTAACATTTTGTAATAATGCTAATCAACATTTAAAAATCATGATTCCTTTCAAACACAAATAATATCAATAATTAAACAAATGTGTTTAAAGTAAAAGACTGCTGTATGTTGATACATTTTTTATTATGGCACAAATAAATCTGTGGTCAAATTAATTAAATAATGTTAAATTCATCGTTAAAGAAAATTGAAAATTTACATTTATAGTTGCCAAATTCTCATCTAATGTAATGTAAGACAGTATAGTATAATAAATAATATTATCTAACTTACGTAACAACGCGTTTAATTCAGTATCGAAAAGTAAATTAATTTATTATATCTGAATGGCCTAGATGCAAGAATAGGAATAATCTTGGGTTCCCGTGCAATCCAGATCTATATGAACTACAAATAGAGTTCCAACTCCCGATTCGCCTGGATTCCGAAATTTGGCAAAAATTTTGAAACTTTTCGACTTTCAAATTGAACCTTATTCTTTCTATTATTTTCTTAACAATTTAGTCTTTGTAATATATAATCTGTATGTTGGTCGTCTAAGAATATGTGCAGTCTCGTAGCCAGGAATAAATCATTGGGGGTTAGAGATGAAAGCTGAAAAAATTCTGACTACTCGTAGTATCTTTCTCTCTTCCTGCCAGCGCTAGGCCTATTAGCTACAGTCCAATTGTAAAAAAAATCCAGAAACGAGATGAATAACTTTCCCGGCTGTTATGAGATTTTATTAAAAATACAATTTTTATATTATTAATTATAATAAATAAAATTGTGTGGCGCCATCTGTTACGAGATTTTATTATAAAAACACTTTTGTATTATTAATTAGTCTATAACAAAAAGCAAAAGGCTTAATTCTGAGTGTAGAGAATGAATTTTTTAAAATATTGTAAATATCAATAACTATTAAAATTTTCATTAAGTCCGACCTCAATCTAAAATGCCTCGTGACCCCCACTATTTCCCATCCCTTCGACCTTTAATTACCAAAGTTATCAATGCCCCTTATATACAAATTATCATGCCAAATGTTACTTAATTTTTAACCCATCCTGCAATATTAAACGAAATAGACGCCAACACAGATCCATTTCGAGTATCAGTTATTTTAATTTTTTTGTCCAGAGGTGCCAAAACATTACGATTTCAAAAACCAGGAGTCAAAAATGGCACAATTACAATATTGTTAAAACAGCCAGGAAAGTAACAAGAAAGTAAAAATTTGAGATGATTACAATACAATACTTTTTCGTGTTATAATAGACAGAGAAGTAAAACGTAACAGTAGTTTAAGTTTGCGCGATGAAAGAGAAAGCATAAACTGTATTATATATACTGCATTTGAGCACTATCGACTAAGATAAGGGGACTTAGCTACCTCACAGCCCTCCGTAGCAACAATTTTGACGTTGTTAAGAATTCAAAAACGTCTAACCTAACAAAATTTTTACTCCTAAAATAGAGAACTTCCGAAATCAATTCTTCAGGCATAGGCAAACCTATTTACTGTACGGTATTAGTGAAAGACTAAATAAACCCAAATCTGAATCGATTTAAAAATCTCACAGAGGAAATACACAGTAGGCCTAAGTAATTTAAACGACCGAGATTATGGAAACTTATTATAATATATAATTTTCATGTTTTTCCACTATACCTCGTAAATATATAATTAATACCTTAATTATTAATTGTATTATTTACATATTCGTTAAACATAATTGTTATGAACGCGTGAACTGACAGATATTCTAACAATTTGCTTACCTTTTTCACAGACATATCCTGCCACAGTAATACCTAAACCAAGTTGATCTTTAGTTAACTGAACATCAATAGTTTCCATTTCAGGTAATTCTTCCGCTTCTTCTGGCACTTCTTGCAGTTTTTGACGATATTGATGAGGATTTCTGTCGGGAGATGTAGAATGAGATGACTGCTCCTATAAGAAATACATGGTCTTATAGCCGATTAACAGATCATTCTAATGCTGAATCATACTATAGTTAAATCTATAAATAAGTGTGTATAATTAAATATAAGTAAATGTAACAGAAACAAAGCTTATTCATACGCACGAAAATCAGTTTCATTCTAATTGATGCAAGTATCTAAATATTTGTATTAGTATAATATCTTTAAAAAAGCGAATTATAAACACGTACAGTATTTATAAATATACATATAATAATAACGTATACATAGACCCGCTTTTACGACTTAATGGATGTAAATAAAAATACTATCGTTAAATCATCCGTTGTAAATCAAATTGTGATTTTTCACAAATTGACCTTCTGTTCCTAAAAATACAAATTATTTAATACAAAAACTAATACAGTCAATAAAAGATTGCATTTAAATACAGATTTCATAGGTTATAATAAAAATTTTTTACCAGTCATAAAACTGGAGATCTAATTAAGGTATATATATACCAGCGATGGCCAAATGTATATCGTTTGCGATAGGAGATTTGCCGAGATTTCTATATTATATGGCTTATCAGAAATACACGAGAGCCGCATAAGTTATTTTTATTACGTATAGTTAAAATACTACTGTAATTATCACTGTTCTTTATTACTTAGAAAATGAAAAGAACACGTAAATCTTTTTATTCATTCTTTATTTCGTTAAACGTTATTTGATTAGAGTTCTGCAAAAATAGAACTCAGACATGATGTTTGTTGATGTCAAAGATTTGAAAACCATGGGCTTAGCCTAACTCGTAATAGGCATGATAGCAAACATTCTTCCCGTCCATATGTTTCTTGTAATAAAAGCAAGCCTTGTTACAGGTAAGAGACTTGCCTCCTTTTTATAGTTGAATACAAATATCGTTTTATAATTTTAAGTATTAATAACACATTTTAGTACTAACATTTATAATTTTACATATTCTCAAAAAGACTACCAATATATTTTAAATAAATTAAATTGAAAATTTTAAAAATAACCTATTTACTGCATCTATTATTTATATATTAATCGACCAATTAGAAATTCATGCTTTAGAGCAATCGTTTGCAATTAACGGTAAAATCAAAGCAACATAAGATAGTAATAAAAGATGTGAATAACTACATAATTATTNGGTGGTCATATTTAATACGTCCGTTGCAGCCCACGACGGACGTATTGAATTGTGAAATAAGTAGAAGATGAGCCCGGCGTTAACGCAAAAAACCGCATCTAAAATAGTGCCGTAGAATCCGAGTTCAGGGTAATCCTTAAACCTCTCCCTCTCCTCCGCTGGGAGGGGGAATTTCGAAAAATCCCTTCTTAGTGTACTGTACATTCTCACGACGTACCCTAACTGTGTACCAAATTTCAACTTTCAACTCCTGACCTTTTGGGCTCTACGCTTATTATTATTATTATCAACCCACCTGGATTATATATATATATAATATTAATATATACCGTGTCTATATATAGACTATATATAGGCCTATTTGCCTATTTTCATAACATTTCCTGATAAATAAATAAATTGATTACTGTATATATATATATATATACATATATATATATTTAAAAAAAATTCAATTCAGATAAAATCATTTCTAAAAACTACAAAATTTATAAAATATAATGCAGTGCGACGTGGTATAAATAACAAAGTTAAAACTGTGCTTTCTGCTTACCTATTTGTTTTTAAAGTGACTGAAATTAAAACACGTTTATTCTATTTTAACGAATTAAATTAAGAAAATTGATTATATATACATTTATTATTAATTTTCTTATTTCATATGTTTATTATAACACACATATATATACCTACTTTATATATACTGTATACAGGAAGTGCAAAAGTAGGTATATAGTTGAGAATCTGAGAAATACAAATGTTTGGTGTTCATTATTATTATTTTTATTATCTTTTATTAGTTCGTATTCCTTATTCGTGATTTAATTTGTACATAAAGATAAATGTTTTTTTTTCTATTTTCTCCCTGTATGTTTTTTCCATAATAACAACTGTATACCTACTTTTGCACCCCACCATAGAGAGAAAGAGAAAGGAGAATACATAGCCTATTATAAGTAGATTTTAAATACATTTACGCAAATAATATATACTCGGTTTTAACAAATATCCTTTTCCTGTTAATGGTCTCAAATCGAAAGTTTACTGTATCTTCAAAACAATGTATTTTTTTAAATCCACTTAAATACAATTATTCACTCTCATTTGTTTCATAGCAGACACATTTGGGGTAAATAATGCGCAATTCAGATTTTTACTTTCAAAACAGTAATAGTAAATTTTTTAAAATATATTCCCAATATACATGTAAAAAATAAAATAAAAAAAGAATAATGAAACACTATCTATCAATCGCTCAAAATATCAATAGTCAAAAAAAGAAAAGAAAGTTAATAAAATTAGTAATTTAAATATATTCTGATCGATATTTTTTCAATCACTATTTTCTAACTATATTATTAATATGTTTATTATTATGTGTATCTATGTTTTTTCATTAAATAATATAGTAAATTAGGAACATACCTTCCAAATTTTTCTATAAATAAAGGTTTAAAAGAGTCCATTTTAAAGTCTTTTTAAAGATTAATGAATTTTTTTATTAGTGTTTTCGGAAGATCCATAGCATAAAGTAACATTTTTATAAACTTTTCAATCTTATGAAAGTAATTTAAATATTCTATATAAATAATTATTTTAATCAGTTTATTTAATTTAATCAGTTAAAGAGATATATATGTATATTATTTGCTTTTACTAAATACGTTTTAAATTGCATTTCTATTTTTAATATGTGATTAGTAACTTATTTACAAAATTTAATAATTATATAGAAGTAGTCACTTGTCAATTCAAATCTTAGAATGTACTATATATCATGTTTAAGTCTATTCATAAATTTTCAATTTTATTTTTAATTTAGTACTGTAAAGAAGTTTTTTTTAATTAAATATTCAATATTATTATCGAATAAGCTAATTCTTTAACAAAGAATTAAATCAGGAATTATATATGTACAAATTAATATTAATTGTCAACGTATTAAAATTCATAATAAATCATCGTTAATAAAATTTGGTATTGTATTCAAAGTGCTTGTCAAGTTAATTTATAGACTTATTTATCATTACTAGATGTCTCTCTTGTAAATTAGATGTATCTTGTAAATGAGACATCTAATAATAATAAATAAGTCTACGAATCAGCTTGGCAAGCACTTTGAACACACATTAACCAAATTTGTTAACAATGATTTAATCGACACGTAGTGTATATGGCGTATGATTCATAAGCCATATACACTGGGTGTCGATTAATTTACATTGTTAACATTGCACCATGTAAAACAGTTTGACCATCTAATCAATCAAATAAACATAAACATATTAGCTTGCATTTTTATATTTTTAACTATTATAAAATGGCAAAACGCTTAAATTTTGTAGGTAGGAGTGGGTTTAATAAAAAAATTGTAAATGCAAATAACAAGTAAAATCGTCATTAAGTCTGACCCTACTAGAGATATGATACGACACCCTTTATCTCCCCATCCAGTCGACCTTTAAACACCAAAATTTAATAGCAAAAATCCCTCTAATACACAAACCTCCCTGCAAAATTTCAGAAAATTTCAAGAAAAAGCACGTGAGTTATTAAGCTTCAAAGAAGGTAAACAAAATCGTACCACACACATACATACACTGACATCCATACATACAGAAAAAAATCTCTGAACATATTTGCATTTCTCGACGTTTCAAGCTCCCCTGAATCCAAAAATGTAAAATTCTCGAGGATCATTTTTTGACCGATCGCCATACTTTCCCTCTATTATGTATAACATCCGGAAAAGTAAAATTGAACTTACAAGTTAGTGCATCTGCTTACCCAATCAGAAAATTACTTTTTTGCCTAAATTTTCTCTCTTTCAAATCATATATGACTCCCTGATTTTTATCAGTTTTTCAATATTTCAAAATAAATTGAAAAAAACTGTATCTTTTATATACAATTATACAAATGAGCCTAAAAACTAATTAACTGAGAACATCAAAGAACTAACTGAAGTAGGCTACATATTTGGATAGCAAAAAAGTTTTACTCCAGATAACTTATAGAAATACTGTACTGAACGACACAAATTGTGTATTAAACACGAGAATCACATCTTCAGAAATTTTTTAAGTTTTATTCGGACCGTTTTAAAATAAAAAGCTTTAGCGTACGGTCAGGGGCGCCGTTAGCTGTTTGAACGCCCGTGTGCAATACCGATTATGCCGCCCCCTGTTTAACTACGATTACCTATGCTGAGCTTGCCAGAAAGGCTATTTGCCGCCCCCTAGACGTGCCGCCCGCGTGCGGTGCACGCCTTGCACGCCCGCTTACGGCGGCCCTGCGTACGGTCCGAATAAAGCTTAGAAACCGTTTTAAAACGGTTAACTTACTTTTGATCCACTAATGGGATAACAATTATTATAAGCAAATTACCATATCCCTATAAACGTTTTATATAATATTAAATATCGCCAAATCTTCGTTTAAAGAATTCTTCTATTGATTTGAATTAGTAAATGTTTTACATTCACTTGCAACTTAGCGCTTGTAATTGTAGCTTGTAACTTTGAAGTACGAGTACAATTGCAAATGTAGGGGAGACCGGGGCAAGATCGGCATGTTAAGCTTTACTTAAATTTTGTGTAATAAATACTGCTGTAAACTGAAAAAAAAAGCTTTGCATATTGTCTATTGGAATGTTACCTTACTATAGAACTGGTTAAAATCAGTTTGGAAATTAAAATAATTAAAATAATTACAACTTTACAAGAAGAGAGAAATTGACGAAGTTGCCCCGGGTATAGGGGCAAGATCGGCAACNTTGTATTCCTTTTTAAAGTTGCTGCTTTATTCCAAGCTTGTGGTAAACTTTTTCTTGATTCTATTTTTTCTTTTTCATTAATAAAAAACTAAGATGTGCTGCATGCTAGCATCTACCAAGAAGTCCTGCCCTGTATGAGCAGACGTCATTAATCATTTTCCATTGGTCATTATGCTGGAAAAAAAATATACTGCCATTAAGTTAATATGTTTATGTTGAATTTTTTATCAGTTCTCTTATGTCCTATGTTGTTGACAGCAAATCGTGCATGTACTTTTTTTCTTTTGAAAACAACATTAAAGAAATTTTTAAAATTTTTGTGTTAATATTTTTATTTTTAAAATAAAACACACGTTTTTATACAAATGTATCAGCACAAATACATTTTTATAAAATTAAGTTTTAATTACATTTTTAAAAAATGATCAAAAGAGATGTAATATAGATGATTAACTTTCCTTTGGACAACTTACTTTCAATGGAATTTATTGGCTAGATTTATGTGCATTTGTGAAATACATTTAGGGGCTGGCCATAAATTACATCCACATTTTTACTCCCTCTCTTGTTCCGGTTTGTCCAAGTTTCGGATCAAATCTAGGACAGGATGACGCGATTGGGACTTTGACAGAGTTGTAGAGCATATCGACAGGAACAAAAAAGTCAATGGAACCATGCCCGTACGGGCAACCCTTCGCGAGATATAGCCCCCCCCCCAAAATGCTTATAAGTGAACTTTTTGAGACCCTCAAAAGTGACAAGAAATAAAACTATTACTTAAAACTATGCTCGTGCACCTATTTAAGTACACGTGTTTTCAAGCTACGTTTTTCAAATTTCCACCGCAAGAAGGCGCTTCACCGTAGCGAAATCTGATTTAGGCACGAAGCGAATGGACGAAATTAAAAAATTTCGGTTTCGTCACGATATCGGCCTTGTTTATTTATACATATTTGCAAAAAATCGTGTTTACTGTTTAGTGGTCGTGCGGTTGCTTTGAGCTTCGATCACAGACAAAACATTTTCTGATTTATGAAGAGTTCCGCTTTAAAAATAAAAATTAAAAGTAAATGTCATGTTGCTCATCTTAGTGGGATGTTTAATCTGAGATCATTGCTTTTCTCTTGTTGGTAACGTTTTTATAGCTCTGATATGTCCAATAATCGAAAGAGGACTGAACATTTCTGGTTACATAGAAATAATTTTAAAAATGTTTCATAATCATGCAATCGCATCTTTTGAACAAAATGATGAAAGCCTCCATATCGATTACTCTTACGAAATAATTCCCTTATCCACTGTCGTTTTCTGCGTCTTTTGTGTTGCAAATAGATTAACAATTGATTCTGTTGCTTCAAAATCAATGCTAGTTTATACTTTCAGCATCAATGCTTAATGTTTGTTCAGAAAACAGGTTAAACAACACTTTCTTTGATTGGCCACTTCGTGAAATTATTAGAAGATATTAGGCTAACAGTAAAAGTTACATGTCCGTTTGATCGTAACGGAAGGATGTTATCTCGACATAACGCAAGAAGTGCCTGTCTGAATGTAGCTTTAGATTGTACAATGTCTAGACGTTATGAAAACAAATTTAGCTGATTTGTTTGTTTCTCTCCTTAAGATGGGCTTGATTGTCCAAAAATATTTGAGAATTTCCATGTACAATTATACTACAGGGGTGGAAAGTAACTAGGCATTGAGAAATAGCTATAATTTGTATATTTCTATACCAAAGATGATGAAAAGTATTTGACATGTTTTGTATTAAATACAAATACGTATGCATATCTTAAAATTCAATGGAAACAAAGGTACCATCCACTAACTTCCTCAAACGACCGGGAATCGTGATGCGGATAGACGGCCACTTCTCTGTGCGTCTGCAACTGAACCTGTGATCATTAGCTTCGAATGGCAATCCTGTTAGACTAGATGTTGCTTGTCGGAAAGATTAGTAAAAACTAGTTAGACTCACGTAAATGTTTATATAACAAAGAAACAAAGAATACACAAAGATTACAGCCTTGACTCACGGAAGGTCAGCGCTGAAAAGGGGAAAGTGAAATGAGGTCACCGTATCTAACGGTTCCCCGAGGGGTCAACCTTTTATTACGTAACGGAAGAACGTTTACAAAGCATCACGACACAATGCGTTGTACGTAACGATGTCTTATAACATTAGACAATAATTTCGATCGTTGATTACAACAAATCCTTGATTGTTTCCGGATAGACTGTGATATGACGTCCCTTCATCGAACGCCACCCTATCTGGACAATAATAACTGATTTCCATACCTTATAGCGTGCAGCAATCAGTGATTGCTTCTGAGCAGACAAGCGGTCGTCCATCTTTTTTGCCACCGCCTGTACGGCCTCTCTTGGTCATTATCTCACACCATGAAAGCGGAAATTATAAAATTCCAATGATTGATTACATGCACACACAAATTTTATTACGATTTCATGATTATTACAAAACTTATAGCGATTTCTCTATGTCTAGTTACTTTCCACCCATCCTGTAGATATAGTAGTGTGAAATTTTATAGTACGTCGTTATACCTCAAACCATTTTAGTACATTATATATTAATAATTTCGTCCTCAAAATAACACATTGACGCTTAAAAATTCTTACAAAGGGTAATAGCTAAGATTCCCAGAGCGGATACTACTACCTGTGATGAGTTCCTAAAGTCAACGTTGTCCAATCGGAAACCCACCAAATAGAATTCTGTCATTCCATAACGTTACGATAGCGGTATGTACTTACTTGCGTTCCTAAAATTAACGTTTTAGTAAGAGCTACAGAAGAATTCTTCGAGACGTTCCATCTGATCTCTATAGTCTTCGACGTCTCACATCATAATGTATAATACGGCGATAAACGTGATTTAGCATATAGGCCTACGGGTCTCTAAAAACAAAGGTATTTCTCATACCAATTCTAATTTTCTCGTTGTGAATATCGTATCGATGGCGTTGAGACTTATCGAAACATTGCATTTAGAAACTCAGCATTGGTGGCAACCTGATGGAAGTAGAAACATTGTTTCGATTAGTGGCCAGCCAGCTGTTGACAACACTGTAAGCATCCAAAGAAGCAAACATTAGCACAATCCCGCTGTACGCAACAGAAGATTTTTTCGCTCTGTGCAATGTTCTGTGGGAGATCCTTGTCAATAATAGGCAATCGTGTTTGTTTTCTGGATATAAAAGGCAAAACGGATCCAGTAAGAAATAATGAATTATAGGCGAATATGAACATTTACTCTATGCTTCACAATTCACTCCTCTACTAGTCATTTCTGGAAAAATAGGCTACATTGAATTACATATTTTTCAATAGCAAATGTACAATAAAAGTAATGGTTAAATAAAATTTTATAACAAAAAGTAGTCCTAATGTTTGTTACAAGAGTAATATTACTGTTTTATAATTGTGTATTTTTGTCCGTCCACTTTCTTTTAAAAATGTTTATTTTTATGCATTAATTCTAATTTACCATAAATCTCATAGTAATGAGGAATGAAGTGAATATGCACTGTTATGTTCAAAATTTAAAATTCCCACTTAGTACAATCAGTGCTAAATCTAGTACAGTTTTAAAATAGAAGATAGTACTATCTGGTAAACTTCAATCGCATCTCTGCTTGAGACACTTATTCATGTGAGCTCCGATAAAGCATATATTGTCATTATATAACTTACAATTGTTAAAATCCAATTCAGCTGTAAATTACATTTTATAATTATACAGTAAAACNTAAATTATATCTTTTGAAAAAATAAACTTAATAATATGGGTTTTAAAATTTTCTATCTGTAAGCTGTTATTCCAAATACGATAAAAAATTTCCAGTTATTTAAAATATAAAGTTCCAATACAGTTTGATGGTCACGTCCTGAATTTAAATAATGACTTTTAGTTTTTGTTCTAATAGAAGAAAATAAATAAAACGCAATCTAATCAAATAATCTCGGAATTACAATAAAGCACCGAAAATCCGGATTTGGCAGTCGAAAAATAGATAGGCTAATCCTTATCAGTAGTAACTTCGCTGCTGATGTTCTTTCGGCCTTGCGTTGTTGATGTTTTAACATTCATTCAAAACTCGTAATGTTTTTATTTTGAAATTGTAATTAGTGTATTTTTAACCTGTAAATTATATTTTGAATCTTTGTAAGCATTCCTGCATTCCTTGTGAAATACTGGCTTGGCTGGTTTAGAACATCTAAACTTGAATTTACAGTATAACTTATTTGGAGTTTACAATTACTTATAATGCTAATTTACGCGTGTATATTTAAAAATCCGGATAGGATCCGGCTTCAATGAATCTGGATTTTCGACACTTCACTCTACTTTGAACACAATTTTTATGTAATTCTGTTTAAAATATAAATTATTAGATTAAAAATAAACTGTTTTCTTGAGTAAAATTACGAGTCTAAAAATTTTCATATGGAATCGTTCTTAATCTAAAGTTTTATACTATATATTTATTTCTATCTACTGAATACATACCATGTGCAACTGTAACTGAACAGGATCGAAACCTTCGGGTAATTGGTTCAGCATGTTAAAGTCGCGACTATTATATTGAGGAGTAAAAGAAAATCCGTTTTGAACAGCCTGCTGAAACATACTGATATTTCTTTCGATTTCTTCTGGATCCGATAATAAACGGGTAGGTAAAATAGGCGCAGTAGTATTTAATGTATTATAACTAGGTGAGCTAGGTTCCACAGGACGAGCAACGATCAGACGTACATGATTTCCAGACTGACGAAGTACCATAGCGACTTGTTCTGATCCCATACCTCGTAAGTTCACTTCTCCTATATGAAGAATGTGATCTCCACTTTGTAATCTACCATCCTATAACAATATAAATAGATATCAGTCAGATAAAAATTAGAAAAATAAATTATTTTGAAAAATCTTTTATATCATCTTTATTTTTATTATAATCAATAAATTTTATAATATTTATGACTCATGTCTGTAAACGTCAGGAATATGTTTTAATATCGATTGCGATTAAAACTTTTTATTACTTGATTCCATAAATGTTAAATTCATATTGCCTTATTACTTTCATTCGTTCATATGTAAACGTTTATTTAAATGATATTTCGTTAAATGTCTCCTTGTTTAAACATATTGGAAATAAAATACCAACTTAACAAAATAAGTTTTTCGACATAAGTTTTTTTATTTCGAAAATCTTAGACACAATGTTGTTACCCCATATTCTATAATAATATATATCGGGTGTTCTGGAACCTTCCAGAATGCTCTACAACCATCTGGACATTTTAAAATCTTTCTGAACGTTCTACAAACTTCTGGAACATTTTAATGTAGCAATTTTTGTTGTGAGATTCAATATGAAATCATGGTTTGAAGCTCTACTTTTATGGTATGCTTCAACAGTACAGTACAACCTAAAATATAAGTTATATTTGTCAAAGTTGAATTTATATTTGTTTCTTCTTCGCTTATATTGTAACAATTTGTCTTCTTTTGTTATAACGTTTACGTGATTTTTGAAAATCACTTAAAACTAAATCACTTTTACTCCGCATAAGTTATATATTATCAATCCAAATTGTATTTACTTGAATCCAGAAAATGTTTTTAAGCTAATTAAATGCTGGTCTTAATTTTGTCAGTGAAAGTTTTACGTTATCTCTGCTCATTAAAAAGTTACAATACAAGTGATCTTGAAAATGATTTTCAAAGTCAACAAAAAAGATCCCATCCCATTCTCCTTGCATTACTTCCTATGTAACTACTTAAACAAAATTAATATATCTTCAGTACTTTTGAAATTAAAACGGTGCAAGAGACTTTTGACTCACCCTGTATATATATATATATATATATATGAAGAATCTCGTTTTAACGGATCGCTCGGACCGCCGAAAATCATCCGTTATAAAACGAACAATGGATTTCCCGAACACCCAGGAAATATCCGTTATTCGAAAACATTTCTGTTTTTTAACACTATATATAAGAAATACCAGTATTTGANTTATTATTTAAAAAATAAAATTGTGTGGCGCCATCTGTTACGAGATTTTATTATAAAAACACTTTTGTATTATTAATTAGTCTATAACAAAAAGCAAAAGGCTTAATTCTGAGTGTAGAGAATGAATTTTTTAAAATATTGTAAATATCAATAACTATTAAAATTTTCATTAAGTCCGACCTCAATCTAAAATGCCTCGTGACCCCCACTATTTCCCATCCCTTCGACCTTTAATTACCAAAGTTATCAATGCCCCTTATATACAAATTATCATGCCAAATGTTACTTAATTTTTAACCCATCCTGCAATATTAAACGAAATAGACGCCAACACAGATCCATTTCGAGTATCAGTTATTTTAATTTTTTTGTCCAGAGGTGCCAAAACATTACGATTTCAAAAACCAGGAGTCAAAAATGGCACAATTACAATATTGTTAAAACAGCCAGGAAAGTAACAAGAAAGTAAAAATTTGAGATGATTACAATACAATACTTTTTCGTGTTATAATAGACAGAGAAGTAAAACGTAACAGTAGTTTAAGTTTGCGCGATGAAAGAGAAAGCATAAACTGTATTATATATACTGCATTTGAGCACTATCGACTAAGATAAGGGGACTTAGCTACCTCACAGCCCTCCGTAGCAACAATTTTGACGTTGTTAAGAATTCAAAAACGTCTAACCTAACAAAATTTTTACTCCTAAAATAGAGAACTTCCGAAATCAATTCTTCAGGCATAGGCAAACCTATTTACTGTACGGTATTAGTGAAAGACTAAATAAACCCAAATCTGAATCGATTTAAAAATCTCACAGAGGAAATACACAGTAGGCCTAAGTAATTTAAACGACCGAGATTATGGAAACTTATTATAATATATAATTTTCATGTTTTTCCACTATACCTCGTAAATATATAATTAATACCTTAATTATTAATTGTATTATTTACATATTCGTTAAACATAATTGTTATGAACGCGTGAACTGACAGATATTCTAACAATTTGCTTACCTTTTTCACAGACATATCCTGCCACAGTAATACCTAAACCAAGTTGATCTTTAGTTAACTGAACATCAATAGTTTCCATTTCAGGTAATTCTTCCGCTTCTTCTGGCACTTCTTGCAGTTTTTGACGATATTGATGAGGATTTCTGTCGGGAGATGTAGAATGAGATGACTGCTCCTATAAGAAATACATGGTCTTATAGCCGATTAACAGATCATTCTAATGCTGAATCATACTATAGTTAAATCTATAAATAAGTGTGTATAATTAAATATAAGTAAATGTAACAGAAACAAAGCTTATTCATACGCACGAAAATCAGTTTCATTCTAATTGATGCAAGTATCTAAATATTTGTATTAGTATAATATCTTTAAAAAAGCGAATTATAAACACGTACAGTATTTATAAATATACATATAATAATAACGTATACATAGACCCGCTTTTACGACTTAATGGATGTAAATAAAAATACTATCGTTAAATCATCCGTTGTAAATCAAATTGTGATTTTTCACAAATTGACCTTCTGTTCCTAAAAATACAAATTATTTAATACAAAAACTAATACAGTCAATAAAAGATTGCATTTAAATACAGATTTCATAGGTTATAATAAAAATTTTTTACCAGTCATAAAACTGGAGATCTAATTAAGGTATATATATACCAGCGATGGCCAAATGTATATCGTTTGCGATAGGAGATTTGCCGAGATTTCTATATTATATGGCTTATCAGAAATACACGAGAGCCGCATAAGTTATTTTTATTACGTATAGTTAAAATACTACTGTAATTATCACTGTTCTTTATTACTTAGAAAATGAAAAGAACACGTAAATCTTTTTATTCATTCTTTATTTCGTTAAACGTTATTTGATTAGAGTTCTGCAAAAATAGAACTCAGACATGATGTTTGTTGATGTCAAAGATTTGAAAACCATGGGCTTAGCCTAACTCGTAATAGGCATGATAGCAAACATTCTTCCCGTCCATATGTTTCTTGTAATAAAAGCAAGCCTTGTTACAGGTAAGAGACTTGCCTCCTTTTTATAGTTGAATACAAATATCGTTTTATAATTTTAAGTATTAATAACACATTTTAGTACTAACATTTATAATTTTACATATTCTCAAAAAGACTACCAATATATTTTAAATAAATTAAATTGAAAATTTTAAAAATAACCTATTTACTGCATCTATTATTTATATATTAATCGACCAATTAGAAATTCATGCTTTAGAGCAATCGTTTGCAATTAACGGTAAAATCAAAGCAACATAAGATAGTAATAAAAGATGTGAATAACTACATAATTATTGTATTTTCTTTAATACTAAATAAATAAGGATATTAAAAAATTAACAAAAACACCTTTATTAAATAATTCTAAATTAAAACAATTTATTATAGTCTATTTTTTAAATAGGCCTATATACATAAAGTTTGTAACTAAAAATGAATTTCAATGTAAATGTGAATAAATAATTTAGAATGTGAACCACTTTCATATTAAAAACATAAATAAATGTATTTTTGTACCGGCATGAATATATATAGCCTATCTACAGTAGATATAGTAAGGCTAACAATTGCATTAACATCTTTTGAATTAGAGTGTGTCTTTAATTTTCTCCACATAACAGACTACTTTAAAACATTCCAAGTCGTGATTTTTAGTATTATGATTTTGAAAATAGTTTGAAGAAAATTTATAGTTCAAATTCCAAATCACATCTTATGACTAAATATTTTTTTCTATCTTAAGGATAACAATAAAACAATCGTAATAGAAACGATCATTTTAAAAAATATAATAAATAAAGAAAATAATCTTAAAATCTGTATTTTCCTTAATAAAAATATTAGAAGTTTTTTCAGCATTACTAGTTTTACTATATACGTAGTCGAGTAAATCAAAGTATAAGAAACATTACAGTACGTCGAATATTAGAAACAGAACAATTTCTCTGAATTAGTGTCTAAATTTTTAAAGAAAAATAAAATATATAAGTTGCTGTTAAATTAAATTAATGTTTGATTAGCATTTGCGTTGTATGACTTCACAAAATGTTCACATTTTTTATTTGAGGAAATTAAAAAGAGAACATTCTGTTTCATACTTAAGTTCTGATGATAAATTTAATAATTAAACATAATTGAAAAGTTTCTACAGAACATTTTGTGAAGCACTAATAAAGTTAAATACGTCGTGTTTTATTACCTATTTGATTAATCGTAGAAAACGGATATAAACTAAATTTTGACATTAACTTGTAAATTTAATTTGGTCCTAATATCTAGAGTTTATTTATCATTAAAATTTGTTATTAAAAGCTAAGGTTCGACTATAACATTATCATCAAATTTAGTCTCTTTCTTCAAAAAATTTTCTAATTAATTCTTAATACGATTTATAAAACTATACTTTAGTTCAAATAATATACAGTATACTGTATATATTTTACAAATTAAAACCTCATAAAAACAATAGTGTATAGTACATAGAAATTAAAAAATTAAACAGAAATTTACCCTGAAAATTAAAATGAATGTTGCTTCTAAATTTAACGATGCATGTTAATCAAGAATAATTTGCAAAAACTATATTAATATACAACATTAACTCGATTTAACAAACCGCTCATTTATCTCAATGACAACTAAAAATTTAATCGATTTTGGATTTAATGGACCAACTCTTCCGAACCAATCGTTTACTTTACCAATCCCATAAAGCTTAAGAAGTTGAGTAAACAATTCTTNGGACTACTACAGTATTTTGCTTTGTATATTTTTTTTAAATAATAAATAATAAAATTTTTATAATTTAAGTAACTAAATAAATTTTGTATATTCTAATCCGAGCTTTAACAAGACGCGTCAAGGAATGTGATCAAGGAATACTTAGAAAAGGAATCGAAAACACATTGTTTTTTAAAGCCTAAATTAGTAAATGTTGGCAACAGTACCATATTTAGCTTTTCATTGTCCCGCGAAAGATTTTATTTTTCGGTTCCCCCTTTTTGTAAAAAAAAATAAAATAAAAAACAAATACGATAGTAATGGCCGGTTAATTTTTAAGTTTAACTATTGATTAAAATGTTATGGAAGTGGTCCCAAGACAAAAAATTACTGGTCGCTTTTTGATACCTCTTTTCGTCTTTTGTGCTGTGTCTCTTTTGTGCCGCAACTACATTGATGCAACGTTTGCACAAGAACGATATTATTATTGATTTTTCATTGTAAAAGTTTATTAAACATTGTACTTGTTCACTTAAAGTGTACAATAAAATTTCACTTTAAAAATACAAAATACTTTTCAGACCATACAATATCCATTTGAGTAAAAATCTTGTTAATTCGAATTAGGTTTTCTAATTTGTCCGAATTAGTGATGTTCTAGTGTAGCCTACTTTCCATCAAATAATTCGAAAATAAATTATAAAAGTGTAGTTGATTTTTAATCTTCCAGCTAATTATAATCTTTGAAATAGCGTCACATTTAAAAAAATCTAAAATTATGAAAACACTTATATTACTACTGTATAAACTAATATGCCAGTTTAAATAATTTACCTCAATTATTTGATCATTAAGTCGCAATTTTCCACACATATCAGCTGCACTGCCTTTACTAATACTTTTTACAAATATACCAGTTATTTCATCTGGAAGTAAATATAACATTAATAACTCGAATAAAAATTAATAAAATGTAAATATATTTCTAAAAACCAGAGTCATATTTACAATTCTCAAGGCCCAATGCGCTAAATTCTTGCAGGGCCTCCGTCTAAAGATACCAGAGTCCAGTAAGCAACTTGCATTTACAAATATAATCAGGAAAAGAAATAATCATTTTTACCGATCTGTTTAGATACAAACTTATTTTTAATACAGCAAAATACAGGAATGAATTGGATTGAATGGGATTGATGAGATAGAGCATGCAACACAAGGTCTATCTTCCAGAGGATGTATCCCAGAAGGATTTCCCATGGGAACTAATCCCTATTTAGATGTTAAACACGCGACGAAAATCTGGAAAATCCCAAGCAGCAAGCGATTGGTCAGGCGCGAGTCCAGAACCAACCATCAGTGATTTCACTCGGCCACTGGTAGGCCTGAGAAACAAAGAATATTACTGAAATAAACTCCTGTACCGTGTGCAACAGTCCACGAGATACAATGATTAGCCATACGGCTTTGATCCTAAATCAATAAGGCACCGATAGATAAAGCACAAAACGTTTGGTACAATCAAACCTGTTTTCGAACATAACTCATTCCTAAAAGTTGTTCAAAAACTGATTTGTTCTAAACCGAAATAAATTTTCCCATAAGAAACAATATAAAATGGAATAATCCGTTCCATATCCCCAAAATAAAGCCTTTTTTAAACCTTTTTAGCTGTATTTCATGCATAAAAATGCATACAAATGCAATATAATATTATGTTAATAAAAATTAAATATTAATATTATAATATTAACAAATTTTTGTTATTTAATTTAACTTAAGCACCTTTAAACACGAATTTTTAGATGCCATTATTACGTGAATGTAAATTAACGCGGTTTTAATTAATTAATTTGATTTAAATTCAACTGTGACACGTACCGAAAAACGGTAGTATTTTTTCCGCATACGCATCGAATATGATTAAAAAGGTCTTCTTTATTGCCCACAGAGCAGAAAGCAGTGTCACAACTAGGAGATAGGCAAAGTAAGTGAAAAAATTTCCCAAGAAAAAAGGAACAGGAAAGAAAAAAATCAAAAAATTGTCAAATTTCAAAAAAAATGAAAAAGCAGTAAAGTGAGAATATAACATTGGAAATGGCATTATTAAAAAGTAATTTATTTTATTATAAATTTTATAATAAAAAAACCAGCAAAAAAACAATCAAATAACTCTTTCATTCGAAGTTATAAAGCAATAAATTGTTTCGAATACAGTATATATTCATTTGTGAAAAACTTATTTTAATAACAATTCATTTGGTTATTTGAATACGATATGAGCAGCATCTTTTTTTCTATGGTAATAAACCTATTATTCGTCATAGTAATTCTAATCTAAACAAAAATTTGTTTAAAGCGTTCGATTTTCAGGAAAATAATTTATAATTTGTATTGATTCATAATGTGCATATATTTACTAAAATATTTATAGTTATTTTTATTCAAATTAAATTTAAATTTGAGAGAGACGTTTTCATCAATAATCACTTTTTTAATCAATAAGTGTTGCAATCGATGATATAATCAACACCTCAAAATAAATACAAAAGCACGTATTATATTAGTTTTTACTAAATTTGATATTTATACTAATACTTGGTCATTTGCTACTTAATTAATTGAGAATCTTGAGTCTTGGATAATTAATTGTGAAAATGTTAACTTACTTTCTTTGTTGAACATTGTTGAATTTCTATAAAACAAGATAGATAATTTCCAGACCAATAATTTCTCACAAAATCATTAATCACATATGGTTGTCTGCCCTAAATACAGAGAAAATTCGGAACTTTGGGGTGACTTCCCAGAAACATGAAAAAATGAGTTGTTATTCCCAAGGTCTTCAATTAACATTTTGTAATAATGCTAATCAACATTTAAAAATCATGATTCCTTTCAAACACAAATAATATCAATAATTAAACAAATGTGTTTAAAGTAAAAGACTGCTGTATGTTGATACATTTTTTATTATGGCACAAATAAATCTGTGGTCAAATTAATTAAATAATGTTAAATTCATCGTTAAAGAAAATTGAAAATTTACATTTATAGTTGCCAAATTCTCATCTAATGTAATGTAAGACAGTATAGTATAATAAATAATATTATCTAACTTACGTAACAACGCGTTTAATTCAGTATCGAAAAGTAAATTAATTTATTATATCTGAATGGCCTAGATGCAAGAATAGGAATAATCTTGGGTTCCCGTGCAATCCAGATCTATATGAACTACAAATAGAGTTCCAACTCCCGATTCGCCTGGATTCCGAAATTTGGCAAAAATTTTGAAACTTTTCGACTTTCAAATTGAACCTTATTCTTTCTATTATTTTCTTAACAATTTAGTCTTTGTAATATATAATCTGTATGTTGGTCGTCTAAGAATATGTGCAGTCTCGTAGCCAGGAATAAATCATTGGGGGTTAGAGATGAAAGCTGAAAAAATTCTGACTACTCGTAGTATCTTTCTCTCTTCCTGCCAGCGCTAGGCCTATTAGCTACAGTCCAATTGTAAAAAAAATCCAGAAACGAGATGAATAACTTTCCCGGCTGTTATGAGATTTTATTAAAAATACAATTTTTATATTATTAATTATAATAAATAAAATTGTGTGGCGCCATCTGTTACGAGATTTTATTATAAAAACACTTTTGTATTATTAATTAGTCTATAACAAAAAGCAAAAGGCTTAATTCTGAGTGTAGAGAATGAATTTTTTAAAATATTGTAAATATCAATAACTATTAAAATTTTCATTAAGTCCGACCTCAATCTAAAATGCCTCGTGACCCCCACTATTTCCCATCCCTTCGACCTTTAATTACCAAAGTTATCAATGCCCCTTATATACAAATTATCATGCCAAATGTTACTTAATTTTTAACCCATCCTGCAATATTAAACGAAATAGACGCCAACACAGATCCATTTCGAGTATCAGTTATTTTAATTTTTTTGTCCAGAGGTGCCAAAACATTACGATTTCAAAAACCAGGAGTCAAAAATGGCACAATTACAATATTGTTAAAACAGCCAGGAAAGTAACAAGAAAGTAAAAATTTGAGATGATTACAATACAATACTTTTTCGTGTTATAATAGACAGAGAAGTAAAACGTAACAGTAGTTTAAGTTTGCGCGATGAAAGAGAAAGCATAAACTGTATTATATATACTGCATTTGAGCACTATCGACTAAGATAAGGGGACTTAGCTACCTCACAGCCCTCCGTAGCAACAATTTTGACGTTGTTAAGAATTCAAAAACGTCTAACCTAACAAAATTTTTACTCCTAAAATAGAGAACTTCCGAAATCAATTCTTCAGGCATAGGCAAACCTATTTACTGTACGGTATTAGTGAAAGACTAAATAAACCCAAATCTGAATCGATTTAAAAATCTCACAGAGGAAATACACAGTAGGCCTAAGTAATTTAAACGACCGAGATTATGGAAACTTATTATAATATATAATTTTCATGTTTTTCCACTATACCTCGTAAATATATAATTAATACCTTAATTATTAATTGTATTATTTACATATTCGTTAAACATAATTGTTATGAACGCGTGAACTGACAGATATTCTAACAATTTGCTTACCTTTTTCACAGACATATCCTGCCACAGTAATACCTAAACCAAGTTGATCTTTAGTTAACTGAACATCAATAGTTTCCATTTCAGGTAATTCTTCCGCTTCTTCTGGCACTTCTTGCAGTTTTTGACGATATTGATGAGGATTTCTGTCGGGAGATGTAGAATGAGATGACTGCTCCTATAAGAAATACATGGTCTTATAGCCGATTAACAGATCATTCTAATGCTGAATCATACTATAGTTAAATCTATAAATAAGTGTGTATAATTAAATATAAGTAAATGTAACAGAAACAAAGCTTATTCATACGCACGAAAATCAGTTTCATTCTAATTGATGCAAGTATCTAAATATTTGTATTAGTATAATATCTTTAAAAAAGCGAATTATAAACACGTACAGTATTTATAAATATACATATAATAATAACGTATACATAGACCCGCTTTTACGACTTAATGGATGTAAATAAAAATACTATCGTTAAATCATCCGTTGTAAATCAAATTGTGATTTTTCACAAATTGACCTTCTGTTCCTAAAAATACAAATTATTTAATACAAAAACTAATACAGTCAATAAAAGATTGCATTTAAATACAGATTTCATAGGTTATAATAAAAATTTTTTACCAGTCATAAAACTGGAGATCTAATTAAGGTATATATATACCAGCGATGGCCAAATGTATATCGTTTGCGATAGGAGATTTGCCGAGATTTCTATATTATATGGCTTATCAGAAATACACGAGAGCCGCATAAGTTATTTTTATTACGTATAGTTAAAATACTACTGTAATTATCACTGTTCTTTATTACTTAGAAAATGAAAAGAACACGTAAATCTTTTTATTCATTCTTTATTTCGTTAAACGTTATTTGATTAGAGTTCTGCAAAAATAGAACTCAGACATGATGTTTGTTGATGTCAAAGATTTGAAAACCATGGGCTTAGCCTAACTCGTAATAGGCATGATAGCAAACATTCTTCCCGTCCATATGTTTCTTGTAATAAAAGCAAGCCTTGTTACAGGTAAGAGACTTGCCTCCTTTTTATAGTTGAATACAAATATCGTTTTATAATTTTAAGTATTAATAACACATTTTAGTACTAACATTTATAATTTTACATATTCTCAAAAAGACTACCAATATATTTTAAATAAATTAAATTGAAAATTTTAAAAATAACCTATTTACTGCATCTATTATTTATATATTAATCGACCAATTAGAAATTCATGCTTTAGAGCAATCGTTTGCAATTAACGGTAAAATCAAAGCAACATAAGATAGTAATAAAAGATGTGAATAACTACATAATTATTGTATTTTCTTTAATACTAAATAAATAAGGATATTAAAAAATTAACAAAAACACCTTTATTAAATAATTCTAAATTAAAACAATTTATTATAGTCTATTTTTTAAATAGGCCTATATACATAAAGTTTGTAACTAAAAATGAATTTCAATGTAAATGTGAATAAATAATTTAGAATGTGAACCACTTTCATATTAAAAACATAAATAAATGTATTTTTGTACCGGCATGAATATATATAGCCTATCTACAGTAGATATAGTAAGGCTAACAATTGCATTAACATCTTTTGAATTAGAGTGTGTCTTTAATTTTCTCCACATAACAGACTACTTTAAAACATTCCAAGNGATTAAGCTTAACCGGAAGAATGGCTTCTACTGTACTATTTTAGATGCGATTTTTTGTTTTCAACTACGTTTAGTCTTCATCGAGTACTTAGGTGTATTAAATTGATCACATTTCAGACATTGTTTAAATATTTTTATATATTTCAATTTTAAAAATGTTCGAACTGTTTTAAATTCGAATTTGTTATTGCGTATTGGTTCGATTATAGAACGATTGTAAACGTTTCAGAAAATTGATCAAATTGAAAATAGTTCGTTTGATTTTCGGCAATTCTCTTCAGCGGTAGGTGTTATATAACAATTACTATGGTTATTGAAATATTGGATGTAAATGGGGTTTGCTTGCAAAACCTCCGCTGACGAAGTCGCGGGTAACAGCTAGTTGTCTTATAAACCTCTTTTAAGTTGTTGACAGAACAATCAAATCCAGCCCTTATTGCTAATTTTTAGTTTGGTCTTATTAAAAAGACTTTTTACAGTTATACTGTGTTCAATTCTTAAAGGAATCTCTTATGTTTAAAGTACAGTGAACTCTTCGTATAGTTATTATCCGGTATAGAGAACGATTTTGTTAGTTCTTGGTTTGCTTTAGTGAACTCGTGATATAGGAAAATATATGAATGTTTTCACTCATTGTTTTTACAGTTCACTACAAGTATATCGAGACACTATTGCATATGACCAGATTTAGAAGTGATTTTGAAATGTTTTTAGTCTGATTTATAAGTTGTGGCTTTTAACATGACTAATAACAGTCAACTACTGACCGAATTACCGAAATGTAAATGCTCTAGTCATCTTATTTGGTAGACCAGGGTTCATATATGGGTCAGCTCAAAATTTTCATGGATGATGGATGAAACTAGTTTAGCCCGCCCCACCACTGGGGAAACGGACAGTTTCCCCAGTGGTGGGGCGGGCTAAACTAGTTTCATCCATCATCCATGAAAATTTTGAGCTGACCCATATATGAACCCTGGTCTACCAAATAAGATGACTAGAGCATTTACATTTCGGTAATTCGGTCAGTAGTTGACTGTTATTAGTCATGTTAAAAGCCACAACTTATAAATCAGACTAAAAACATTTCAAAATCACTTCTAAATCTGGTCATATGCAATAGTGTCTCGATATACTTGTAGTGAACTGTAAAAACAATGAGTGAAAACATTCATATATTTTCCTATATCACGAGTTCACTAAAGCAAACCAAGAACTAACAAAATCGTTCTCTATACCGGATAATAACTATACGAAGAGTTCACTGTACTTTAAACATAAGAGATTCCTTTAAGAATTGAACACAGTATAACTGTAAAAAGTCTTTTTAATAAGACCAAACTAAAAATTAGCAATAAGGGCTGGATTTGATTGTTCTGTCAACAACTTAAAAGAGGTTTATAAGACAATTAAGCAAACTTGTAAAGTTCTTTTATAAAAAAAAAAAAAAAAAATTGATAACAAGCTTCTGAGTTGTTCTTGGTGTCGGCTGATTGTCTCTGTAGGAAAGACATTGAAAGTTTGCTTAATTGTCTAAAAAACCCCCCTTTAAGTAGTTATCAGAATAATGTAAAAATCTATTGTTTTTGAGTTTGTTAAAACTTAATTAAAATTAAGGAAAGAATTAATATAAGACCAAACGACGAAACGTTTTTCAAACAAAGTTTCACTTTATGATATTTAATAAAGCATATAATGTAATAATAAACTACTTAATTAATAAAGTATATTATACTGTTATTTAATAAATATAAAAATAAACTATTAATTTAAAAATGCTTACATTACTGTTACATTGCAGTGATGCTGTTACGATTTTCTTTATTTAATATAATTTCTTGTGTCGTGCAGTGCTTTAGATGGTTTTTGCTGTTCAAGTGTTGGTCATAGCATTTGTATCCAGTAAATGTCTTTCTACAAGGTTCACAAAATACATAATTTCTGGAGTATTCATCTTTAAATACAGGAATATTTGCATTTTTCAATTCTTCTTTATTTTTATGCTTTTTACTTCTCATATGTTGATAATACGGAATTGGTCCAGTAAACGATTTTTCACAAGTTGAACAACATTTATAGTTTGTAATTTGCATGGCCATTCTGAAAAAGAAAAATGTATTTAAGATTTTAAATATAGTGAATGCAACATTGTGATTGTGTTTTATTTACCAATTAATAAAATTTAAACAAGTTATCAAAACAGTTTCGAAAAATGTAAGAATTATTGAAACCATTATCATTTTAAATATCATTATAGATTTAGTGATATTATCTGTTTTAAATTCATATTGTAATATTATGAATATACCGCATTTTCCCGAAAATAAGACCTAACCGGAAAATAAGCCCTAGCATGATTTTTTCAGAATGCTCATAATATAAACCTTACCCCTAAAATAAGCACCGATTAAGATCGTCAGCCAGGTGGTCATATTTAATACGTCCGTTGCAGCCCACGACGGACGTATTGAATTGTGAAATAAGTAGAAGATGAGCCCGGCGTTAACGCAAAAAACCGCATCTAAAATAGTGCCGTAGAATCCGAGTTCAGGGTAATCCTTAAACCTCTCCCTCTCCTCCGCTGGGAGGGGGAATTTCGAAAAATCCCTTCTTAGTGTACTGTACATTCTCACGACGTACCCTAACTGTGTACCAAATTTCAACTTTCAACTCCTGACCTTTTGGGCTCTACGCTTATTATTATTATTATCAACCCACCTGGATTATATATATATATAATATTAATATATACCGTGTCTATATATAGACTATATATAGGCCTATTTGCCTATTTTCATAACATTTCCTGATAAATAAATAAATTGATTACTGTATATATATATATATATACATATATATATATTTAAAAAAAATTCAATTCAGATAAAATCATTTCTAAAAACTACAAAATTTATAAAATATAATGCAGTGCGACGTGGTATAAATAACAAAGTTAAAACTGTGCTTTCTGCTTACCTATTTGTTTTTAAAGTGACTGAAATTAAAACACGTTTATTCTATTTTAACGAATTAAATTAAGAAAATTGATTATATATACATTTATTATTAATTTTCTTATTTCATATGTTTATTATAACACACATATATATACCTACTTTATATATACTGTATACAGGAAGTGCAAAAGTAGGTATATAGTTGAGAATCTGAGAAATACAAATGTTTGGTGTTCATTATTATTATTTTTATTATCTTTTATTAGTTCGTATTCCTTATTCGTGATTTAATTTGTACATAAAGATAAATGTTTTTTTTTCTATTTTCTCCCTGTATGTTTTTTCCATAATAACAACTGTATACCTACTTTTGCACCCCACCATAGAGAGAAAGAGAAAGGAGAATACATAGCCTATTATAAGTAGATTTTAAATACATTTACGCAAATAATATATACTCGGTTTTAACAAATATCCTTTTCCTGTTAATGGTCTCAAATCGAAAGTTTACTGTATCTTCAAAACAATGTATTTTTTTAAATCTACTTAAATACAATTATTCACTCTCATTTGTTTCATAGCAGACACATTTGGGGTAAATAATGCGCAATTCAGATTTTTACTTTCAAAACAGTAATAGTAAATTTTTTAAAATATATTCCCAATATACATGTAAAAAATAAAATAAAAAAAGAATAATGAAACACTATCTATCAATCGCTCAAAATATCAATAGTCAAAAAAAGAAAAGAAAGTTAATAAAATTAGTAATTTAAATATATTCTGATCGATATTTTTTCAATCACTATTTTCTAACTATATTATTAATATGTTTATTATTATGTGTATCTATGTTTTTTCATTAAATAATATAGTAAATTAGGAACATACCTTCCAAATTTTTCTATAAATAAAGGTTTAAAAGAGTCCATTTTAAAGTCTTTTTAAAGATTAATGAATTTTTTTATTAGTGTTTTCGGAAGATCCATAGCATAAAGTAACATTTTTATAAACTTTTCAATCTTATGAAAGTAATTTAAATATTCTATATAAATAATTATTTTAATCAGTTTATTTAATTTAATCAGTTAAAGAGATATATATGTATATTATTTGCTTTTACTAAATACGTTTTAAATTGCATTTCTATTTTTAATATGTGATTAGTAACTTATTTACAAAATTTAATAATTATATAGAAGTAGTCACTTGTCAATTCAAATCTTAGAATGTACTATATATCATGTTTAAGTCTATTCATAAATTTTCAATTTTATTTTTAATTTAGTACTGTAAAGAAGTTTTTTTTAATTAAATATTCAATATTATTATCGAATAAGCTAATTCTTTAACAAAGAATTAAATCAGGAATTATATATGTACAAATTAATATTAATTGTCAACGTATTAAAATTCATAATAAATCATCGTTAATAAAATTTGGTATTGTATTCAAAGTGCTTGTCAAGTTAATTTATAGACTTATTTATCATTACTAGATGTCTCTCTTGTAAATTAGATGTATCTTGTAAATGAGACATCTAATAATAATAAATAAGTCTACGAATCAGCTTGGCAAGCACTTTGAACACACATTAACCAAATTTGTTAACAATGATTTAATCGACACGTAGTGTATATGGCGTATGATTCATAAGCCATATACACTGGGTGTCGATTAATTTACATTGTTAACATTGCACCATGTAAAACAGTTTGACCATCTAATCAATCAAATAAACATAAACATATTAGCTTGCATTTTTATATTTTTAACTATTATAAAATGGCAAAACGCTTAAATTTTGTAGGTAGGAGTGGGTTTAATAAAAAAATTGTAAATGCAAATAACAAGTAAAATCGTCATTAAGTCTGACCCTACTAGAGATATGATACGACACCCTTTATCTCCCCATCCAGTCGACCTTTAAACACCAAAATTTAATAGCAAAAATCCCTCTAATACACAAACCTCCCTGCAAAATTTCAGAAAATTTCAAGAAAAAGCACGTGAGTTATTAAGCTTCAAAGAAGGTAAACAAAATCGTACCACACACATACATACACTGACATCCATACATACAGAAAAAAATCTCTGAACATATTTGCATTTCTCGACGTTTCAAGCTCCCCTGAATCCAAAAATGTAAAATTCTCGAGGATCATTTTTTGACCGATCGCCATACTTTCCCTCTATTATGTATAACATCCGGAAAAGTAAAATTGAACTTACAAGTTAGTGCATCTGCTTACCCAATCAGAAAATTACTTTTTTGCCTAAATTTTCTCTCTTTCAAATCATATATGACTCCCTGATTTTTATCAGTTTTTCAATATTTCAAAATAAATTGAAAAAAACTGTATCTTTTATATACAATTATACAAATGAGCCTAAAAACTAATTAACTGAGAACATCAAAGAACTAACTGAAGTAGGCTACATATTTGGATAGCAAAAAAGTTTTACTCCAGATAACTTATAGAAATACTGTACTGAACGACACAAATTGTGTATTAAACACGAGAATCACATCTTCAGAAATTTTTTAAGTTTTATTCGGACCGTTTTAAAATAAAAAGCTTTAGCGTACGGTCAGGGGCGCCGTTAGCTGTTTGAACGCCCGTGTGCAATACCGATTATGCCGCCCCCTGTTTAACTACGATTACCTATGCTGAGCTTGCCAGAAAGGCTATTTGCCGCCCCCTAGACGTGCCGCCCGCGTGCGGTGCACGCCTTGCACGCCCGCTTACGGCGGCCCTGCGTACGGTCCGAATAAAGCTTAGAAACCGTTTTAAAACGGTTAACTTACTTTTGATCCACTAATGGGATAACAATTATTATAAGCAAATTACCATATCCCTATAAACGTTTTATATAATATTAAATATCGCCAAATCTTCGTTTAAAGAATTCTTCTATTGATTTGAATTAGTAAATGTTTTACATTCACTTGCAACTTAGCGCTTGTAATTGTAGCTTGTAACTTTGAAGTACGAGTACAATTGCAAATGTAGGGGAGACCGGGGCAAGATCGGCATGTTAAGCTTTACTTAAATTTTGTGTAATAAATACTGCTGTAAACTGAAAAAAAAAGCTTTGCATATTGTCTATTGGAATGTTACCTTACTATAGAACTGGTTAAAATCAGTTTGGAAATAAAAATAATTAAAATAATTACAACTTTACAAGAAGAGAGAAATTGACGAAGTTGCCCCGGGTATAGGGGCAAGATCGGCAACTTCTCTCTTTTTGTAAAGTTGTAATTATTTTAATTATTTTTATTAAAGTTGCCCCTGGTATAGGGGCAACAGTAATGGGGCAAGATAGGCACGTATATAAAATTATGTTATTAACAATGTATAAGTTGGAATTCACTATTAAAACAAAGAAATACAAATCCAACACCCATTTAATATTATTACAACGAAATGCAAGTTCAAAGACATATATACATGAATAACAAATGCAAACATGTTTTCATTTATCATCTGTTTGATTTTTATCCTTTGCTTCTAATGTGGCTTTATGTTGCCGATCTTACCCCGCTAGTCATGATTTCGAAACATTAAGTACAACCCTGAGAACAGAATGCCAAGCCACGATCTGGCCACGTGAATAAGTTGAAGTTACATCCTTCTAACAGGAAAAGTAACTTTCGTTATCATGGAATTATAACAAAACCTGCCAATTCAATATAAATGGAAAAAAAATATTATATGGAATTGAACGAAAATGAAAATTTGCTTGATAATTCAACTACGCTTGTTGGAGAACAATAAAAACACTACACTCAACAAGCCACCAATAAAACTCAACTGCCTAACCTATAACCAAAGTCTCCTTTTAATTTGTTTTTAAAAAAAAGCGCTTGACAAACTTGCCCCGCATGCCGAAGTTGCCCCGGTCTCCCCTAACTTTTTCGAAAGTGAAGACTTTTTGAAAAAGTTAAGCAGTACACTTTGTATTAGCAATTATTAAATTAAATACTTAATGATCCATATAAATATACTTTTAAATTATATCTTTTGAAAAAATAAACTTAATAATATGGGTTTTAAAATTTTCTATCTGTAAGCTGTTATTCCAAATACGATAAAAAATTTCCAGTTATTTAAAATATAAAGTTCCAATACAGTTTGATGGTCACGTCCTGAATTTAAATAATGACTTTTAGTTTTTGTTCTAATAGAAGAAAATAAATAAAACGCAATCTAATCAAATAATCTCGGAATTACAATAAAGCACCGAAAATCCGGATTTGGCAGTAGAAAAATAGATAGGCTAATCCTTATCAGTAGTAACTTCGCTGCTGATGTTCTTTCGGCCTTGCGTTGTTGATGTTTTAACATTCATTCAAAACTCGTAATGTTTTTATTTTGAAATTGTAATTAGTGTATTTTTAACCTGTAAATTATATTTTGAATCTTTGTAAGCATTCCTGCATTCCTTGTGAAATACTGGCTTGGCTGGTTTAGAACATCTAAACTTGAATTTACAGTATAACTTATTTGGAGTTTACAATTACTTATAATGCTAATTTACGCGTGTATATTTAAAAATCCGGATAGGATCCGGCTTCAATGAATCTGGATTTTCGACACTTCACTCTACTTTGAACACAATTTTTATGTAATTCTGTTTAAAATATAAATTATTAGATTAAAAATAAACTGTTTTCTTGAGTAAAATTACGAGTCTAAAAATTTTCATATGGAATCGTTCTTAATCTAAAGTTTTATACTATATATTTATTTCTATCTACTGAATACATACCATGTGCAACTGTAACTGAACAGGATCGAAACCTTCGGGTAATTGGTTCAGCATGTTAAAGTCGCGACTATTATATTGAGGAGTAAAAGAAAATCCGTTTTGAACAGCCTGCTGAAACATACTGATATTTCTTTCGATTTCTTCTGGATCCGATAATAAACGGGTAGGTAAAATAGGCGCAGTAGTATTTAATGTATTATAACTAGGTGAGCTAGGTTCCACAGGACGAGCAACGATCAGACGTACATGATTTCCAGACTGACGAAGTACCATAGCGACTTGTTCTGATCCCATACCTCGTAAGTTCACTTCTCCTATATGAAGAATGTGATCTCCACTTTGTAATCTACCATCCTATAACAATATAAATAGATATCAGTCAGATAAAAATTAGAAAAATAAATTATTTTGAAAAATCTTTTATATCATCTTTATTTTTATTATAATCAATAAATTTTATAATATTTATGACTCATGTCTGTAAACGTCAGGAATATGTTTTAATATCGATTGCGATTAAAACTTTTTATTACTTGATTCCATAAATGTTAAATTCATATTGCCTTATTACTTTCATTCGTTCATATGTAAACGTTTATTTAAATGATATTTCGTTAAATGTCTCCTTGTTTAAACATATTGGAAATAAAATACCAACTTAACAAAATAAGTTTTTCGACATAAGTTTTTTTATTTCGAAAATCTTAGACACAATGTTGTTACCCCATATTCTATAATAATATATATCGGGTGTTCTGGAACCTTCCAGAATGCTCTACAACCATCTGGACATTTTAAAATCTTTCTGAACGTTCTACAAACTTCTGGAACATTTTAATGTAGCAATTTTTGTTGTGAGATTCAATATGAAATCATGGTTTGAAGCTCTACTTTTATGGTATGCTTCAACAGTACAGTACAACCTAAAATATAAGTTATATTTGTCAAAGTTGAATTTATATTTGTTTCTTCTTCGCTTATATTGTAACAATTTGTCTTCTTTTGTTATAACGTTTACGTGATTTTTGAAAATCACTTAAAACTAAATCACTTTTACTCCGCATAAGTTATATATTATCAATCCAAATTGTATTTACTTGAATCCAGAAAATGTTTTTAAGCTAATTAAATGCTGGTCTTAATTTTGTCAGTGAAAGTTTTACGTTATCTCTGCTCATTAAAAAGTTACAATACAAGTGATCTTGAAAATGATTTTCAAAGTCAACAAAAAAGATCCCATCCCATTCTCCTTGCATTACTTCCTATGTAACTACTTAAACAAAATTAATATATCTTCAGTACTTTTGAAATTAAAACGGTGCAAGAGACTTTTGACTCACCCTGTATATATATATATATATATATATGAAGAATCTCGTTTTAACGGATCGCTCGGACCGCCGAAAATCATCCGTTATAAAACGAACAATGGATTTCCCGAACACCCAGGAAATATCCGTTATTCGAAAACATTTCTGTTTTTTAACACTATATATAAGAAATACCAGTATTTGAAATTATTCATTCTCTATTCTTTATCCTATAGAAACACGTATGTTTGTAACGTAGGCTACGTGTAAATTATGCCTTTTATGATTGTATAATATTATGCCATACGCGTGTACGACAAAGCTGGCAAAAATTGTACATACTGTAAGCATAAAAAGGGGCAAATCACATATGCTTTTTAGCACTTTGCTTATCTTCACGATTTGTTAAAAAACTCGTCCATCTTGGTTTCTTTTCGATGCCGCTTTTTTGTCTATTAAATACAACTATAAATATTACACCGCTTGATATTAGCAATGTCATGTACTGAACAGTCCAGCCTGTTCGTTTATGCTAAAACTCGTCAGGAAGCGTTTCACAACTTGGAAATACTCGATGGCCTCGCTAAATTTCGGCACTACACTTGGACCAGCGATTAAGTGTCCGAATGATTCCTCCTCAACTGTATCAGTCAGCTGACTCTCTTCGTACAATTCTTCAATTGTACATATCCCAAATGGAACAATTGCATCATCAAACTCTGCAAATTTCCAGAAACAAATATCCCAAATATTAACTAAACATTGAAACGTTAAAAAACGCGAAGTTTACAATAGATTTTGGGTAGAAAAAATTCGTTATTTCGAGTAACGGATCCGCTAAAAGGAGGTAAAATTACATTGATTTGGCGGGATCTGGAAAAGATCCGTTATTCTGAGAAATTCGTTGTTTTGCGATCCATTAAAACGATATATATATATATATATAGGCTATATATATGTTACCAAAATAAATTGAAATTTTTAAAATGTATAAAAATTCAAGATAATAAAATAATACAAATATTTAATTTGCTTAATTCTTAAAAAATGTTGCCTTTTTACTACAGAACTAATATATTTATAGTTATATGTACTTTAGGTGAAAAGTATCATATGACTAGAATATAAGATAAAAAATTAAAATTAAATTAACAGTAATTAATATGATATACTATATAATACAGCAAAACTGCCGAACTCGTAAAACTGTTTTAGGATGTATTACAATATCCGAAATACATGATAAGTTGGCAGATAAGATAACAAATAAAAACTTTTTTATAGCTAAACAAACTTTTTGAAAAATAAAATTTTTTATAGCTTAGGAAATTTGGAGAATCGATTTTCTAAGCGAGTTTAACGCAAGCAATGAACGTACATTTTATCATTGAATAGGAAATGACGAGAATCATTTCCTATTCGCTTCCAAAAATTATATAGTGTCGCCATGAAACCTCTGCAAATTTGAATAATTGAAACTTTCTAATCGAGCCATATAGCCTAATATTATCAAATGCACGTTAAACGACACATAAGTAAATAGTTTATGTCAGTAATTTCTTGTGTGAGTTTGTGTACTTGTTGCTTGTTTATATTGCTATTTATGTTCATTGTTGGTAATTAAACAATTCAAAATCCCAAAACTGAAAATGACAATATTTCAAAAAGCATGGTTCGTTGGTACTAACTTGTAAGTTACCTCTTAGATCAATAGTAACTCATTAATCGGTTACATTTGTACAAGGTAAAAATATTCGATAGATGCGGTATTCGATACAATATACAACAGTTGGTATATGATGTATTCTTATATCATCAACTTTAATTGCTGATATAAGAATGGAAACCAATATAAGTTATAAATTATAATAAATTTTAACGTTTTCCAAATGTGTTATAAGTTACATAAAGCTCTTAAGACGTGGAAAAGTGAAGAAATCGAATACCATTAACAACCCTGTGGATGATGATGTTACTTCAGATAAGGGATCCCGAGGGTGCTCTCTTAAGCTGGCTCATTTTATTATTCTCCTTAGTGATTATAATGATAAAGAGTTGTTCTAATAACAAACAAGAATTTTTGTCTGAAATGAACAATGAATTAAATGAAAGAGCAAATCTAATTGAATATTGTGCAACAATAATAAAGATAGCTTATCCTGTTAGAAAATAATTCGAACAGGCTACGAGAAAATCATAATACGCTGCTAAATTATCTTGAGAGTGCTTATATGCCAGTTGATTTTTTAGATTTAAAAACATTTTTTCTTCAATTATTTTTACTTCCACGTTCTTTTATAAATTTATGTTTATATCCTTGTCTACTTGGACCTTGTTTATTAAAATAGGACTTATTACACCGGTGTACAGTGTAATAAGTCCTATTAATAAACAAGGTCCAAGTAGATAAGGATACAAACAGAAATGTTTTTCTTGTAATATTAGGCATTCAAGAATTAATTATAAATGCATTAACATAACAGTAACATATTTAAAGTATAGTATATCGCAATGTAGCTACTAACCTGTGATGTACAGTACTTAATTATGATTACTTCTCATATACTCGTATTTTCTTATTATAAAAAATAATACCATATATTTTTATAGTTAAGAAGTTATTAACTGTTATTACGTAAATATTTATTAAATGAAAATGAAAAATATTTTAATACTAGATAATGTATTTTGAGCTTGCAATATATTAAATAATTAAACATTATTTAATACATTTCAAGCACAATATATTAGCCTATAAAGCCTATAGACATTAAATAACCATTATTATATCATTGTGAACATATTAATAGATATTATCAACTAGATTTGTGAACGTAAACCTACTGTGATGTCACATAACCGCACTAAGTACTAGTTACAAATTGAGTAATTTAGAACATCCTTATTGAGTAATTAAACCTTTTCCTTATTATAATAAATCCATAGTATCATTTCTTCGAAAATGTATTGATTAATTAGTTATTTTTGGCGGCATTAAAGTTAACTGGAATAAACAACATTTTTAATTTTAAAATAATTATATTCAAATGAGATAATTATCACTATTTTAACGAGCGGAATTAATATTTAAAAAGGACAAACGCAAACAGACATTTTATAGAGATTTCATGACGCTTAATATAAATTTTATTTCCTTTAAAAACTTAGTAATGGACAATATTATTTTCAGATCCAGATTCAGATAAATAATCGATTGGATTTGTTTTGCAATTGGCATCATAGTTATGAGCTATAAAAAAATCCTAATCTCCCACTGTGAATTAAACTATATGGACAATAGATCATTAAATTCGTAGCCTACATACTAAATCAAACCCCAAAGTTTGAAAGTTCTGTTATGAATTTTAATGATCAATTTTCCAATTTCATTGGATTTAGACTCAATTCGTTATAAAGTTTTTCACCTTTTTACTTATATATTTACGAATAGGGCTTGGTCGGTAAGATTGAAACGTAATAAGTTCAAATTTTTATTATGTGGTCATGACCATCTTACCAATCAAACAGGCTACTTTCGTAAACTGCCGAATTGCAGAGACTTTTTTTTTAATGACAATTCAAATTAGAGTACAGTACCTCATTGTTTAAATTTTTTTTTTTACATTTAGTGGAGCACTCCCTCTGACCTGTAGCATTAAATGCTACTGGCTTGAGGTACTCCTCTTTTAATTAACCCTGCTTCGCATATGCTTTGCAGGTAACTCATTGTTTATTGAATGCGAATGAGACTTTCCAATATACAGTACATCATTATGTATCAATATATTGGAAAGTCTGATATATATCATACCTCGCGGCAACAAATTTAACCTAATGGCGAATTCGGCTGGCTGCTCTAACGAGCAGCAGGAATAGATTAATGTCATCATCATTCCAAACAGAATAATCAACTAATCACAGTAGGTGAATGATCCAAACAATTGTTCTATTCTGTCCAGTCAAACAGAAAGAAACAAGAAAAACACTCCGACAGTATATTAGCGTAGCCAGCTAAATTCGACATAACTAAACAAGATCTGATTA